CAGTACAACTTCCATTGTGGCCATTGAAATAATGTCAGCATTAGATGTTAACCGGCCACAAAACACAACTGCAGTCAAGTTGAGAGCCTGCAGTGTAACTGCACATCACAGCAGTTCATGTACCCGCTTAAAATCTCATGCAATAGCTGAATGTTTTTCAAAGGAGCTGTCTCAGTTTGTTGATAGGCAGTTTTGGTTTTGCAACTAGTGTTTTAGAAGTGGACACCAAAACCCTCAAAAATGAATTGTGGTAAATGATACATGGTGAAGTATATCCCACATCTAATTGGAGAGCTGTGTTTGCAGCCTGTTACTGTCTATGTTGGTTGTCTTTTCCCCAGAGATAATGGTAAATCATGGTACTACTGGGCAATTCTGCATTCACAGCGTATTTCTTAAAAAAGAGCTAATGACCTTTCTGCTTACGGGCAGTAGTGGTGGCTAGAAGTGACATTTTCTGATCCGGTTAAAGTATTATCTATAGGTGGAAAGATACAGGTGAAGAGGTACAGTTAAATTATTTGAGTTGAACAAGCTCAGAATTTAATATTTTTCTTTTTGGAGGGTGAAATGTGTAAATTTAGTGACATCATTAACACAATCTAGAAACAGTCTTTTTTGTAGGATTCATCTATTTGTATCTTTTGGGAAACAATTTGAGAGATCATCTGTTTGGGTAGTAAAAATGTAACATAGAAATCTTCTTAAATTGAAAATGATTTTTAGCTGTAGAAAGCTAAAGCATTTTATTTTATAAAATTGGAAAATAACTTTTGGTGGTGCATAATGGGAAATAGAGGGCTGATTTACTCGTTACTTGCTCAACAGTTACATTGAATGTACAATGGAGAAATGTGAGTTCTAATGCTTTGGGGAACATATTGCACTGGAATGACTTTTCCTGTGAGACTTGGTTATATCTGTATCCAGGGAAAACATTAATGGCATTTTCTCTCATCCTTCCCCATGGAAAGAAAACTGACTGATTCTGGTTTTGGTGTGCCCACCTCTGCTTGAACCCTATGGGAATCCTGGGGCTTTTTGCAGTTTCCTGCAGTGCTAGAGATGAGGAATCAGGATGCCTGGAATACATTCCCATGCTAAAAGGCAAATGGAAGTTAGAAAGGACATCATAGATGGGCACTGAGTGTTTTGCACAAGAGCAACTCTTGAATCCTGCCGTCAGCTTGAACCGTGAGCTGAACAGAGCTAGCAAAGGTCTGAGCTCCCGGTGGAAGCACCTGAGCTCCCGCAGGAGAGGCCTGCGGCCTCGGGACAGCTTTAGGTTTCTTTGCTGGACAAACCTAGCTCAGGTACCATGGTAGAAGGGGAAGATCCTAGTGTGGGAGTTCCTGTACGTGTTTCTCTGAAACCTGTTTGCTTTCCATAGGCAAGAATTTAATAAGTAAATATTTCTATCATAAACCTTTTCGTATTGTTTTTGAATGAACTACTGTGTCAATTTTCCCATGCTATTATAAATGGATTAGTGAGGATTGTCATAAAATAACATAATAAATTAGTGCTGGGCAGCACAAGACACATGAAGGATGTTAAGGGACTATCTTAAATCCTGGGGAGGACACAATGCAGCGTTAAGGGTGACTGAGTGGTGACAGGGGCTTGGAGAAGTTTGAATTATTTGTGAGGGACTTGGGCAGGATGTAAATCCCAAAGCAAACCCTTCCAGCCCCAGCCTGGGTGCCTCTGAAGAACAGGGCATTGACAGCACTATGACAGCAGTGCACAATGTGCAGGAAGCAGACAGGAAAGCCAGCTTGATTTGGCTCATGTTCATATGAGATTGACTAGGGAGGAATTTTAAGGTACTTCCTAGCAGCTATACCTCCTTATTTCAGACCTTTTGTGGTGGAAAGAGGACTTGTTGTCTTGCCAGAAACTCACGCCTCTGTGTTTCCTGCTAACAGCTGGGCTAACCGTTTCACTGGTTCACATTTATTCCTTCCTCTAGTGATAGCCACTATCTTCAGTTAGGCCTCAGCACTGAGCACACCTCATTTCCGATTCATTCCTCCATATCCCTGCTTCCTTGCTGCCTTTCTCTCCTCTCGGACCTCAGTGATACTGAAGATTTGCTTTCAAAATGATAAATTCCCAGTATTTTGCTCTGCAGCTCTTATCTGCATGGAGCTTCTCTGGAGATGTTCTGCCCTAGCAGAGAGGGAGCCTTGGGCACCACCTCTGCTCGTGGCCGTGGTCTCGCTGCTCCCGCGCTGCCTTCTGGCGTGCCTCGTTACGGGCTGGTCACTCTGAGCCTTCATGACGAGCATAAAGCATCGTGCACAGTGAGGCACTTGTCACTAAGCAGGGTTGAATTTGATAAGGTGAATGTTCTAAATGTTAATTTATTTTATTGATGCTTTTGAAATGAATTTGTTGAAACAGAAAGGAAGTGTGGATGTGGATCATGTTACCATAAACCTGCATGCAACGAAATGTTCATCTGTCTCCAACATTTCATGTCTTCTGGGCATCCAAGGTAGCTATGTTTGATTTACACAATCAAGCCATTCATTAAATATCTGTTTGAGTTTTAGGCAGATACATCCTTTATCTAGTGATGAAATCTGACTACAGGAAATGGAGATATTCCTTTGTGAAAAGACCCCATTCTGCTTATAGAGTCAGCCTTGCAGCAATGTACTTCTTGGAAACTGCCAAGCTTTGTATACCAAATATTGTTGCGAGGGCTCAGCAATAAAATAGTCGCAGACTTGGGATTGATCCAGCTGCACAATAGCTGTACTTTTATGCAATATTTCCTCTTTCAACATCCATCTCCAATGCTGTAATTCACTGACAAGTGTCAGTTCATTTTAATCCCAACATTCTCCTCCAGAACACAAAGCAATTTAGAGTCTGAGTGCCTGTGCGGGTATATCAGTTAGTTACAGCACTAGTCCAAGTTGTGCCCAACAGAACACTTAGGAGAGCCAGTCCGGAGCAGCCTGTGTTGTTTAGCGTTGCCTATAGATTATGCTGGCAGTCAGGAGCACGCTTGGTACTCCATGTATTCCATGGAGCCTGCTGTGACCAGCAATCTGCATGATGGTGACAAGTGGGAGAGGTGACCAGGGTGCTAGGGAGTAAATAAATAAAATGACCCAGCAAAGAGATGGAGGTCTGATGTGTCTATGTGAGGGAATGGCCTGGAAACATCTGATCTCAGTCACTTTTAGAAAAAGTAAGTATCCTTAGGCAGATGGGAGAGGCTGTAAAACCTAGTGCTTGGTTGAAAGAGTCATCTTATTTTGGCAGACACCTTGCAGATAAATATGTGCAGGGAGCTATTGGGCTGCTCTGTGATGCAGAGCTTTCTGGTGTCTTCAGAGAGGTCAGTTTTGTCTTGCAGAAGTGAGGGCTGCTGTATCTCTGTGGTATTCTTCTTGTTATTGTTTGTTTTATATATCTATATCTACCTATATATATATTTGTGTGTGTGCATATAAAGTAATCTGTGGCCAGTTTTCCTTTTCATGCCTGAAATGGCCTCAGCCCACACTAGCTCAATGGCAGGGTGGTCATTCAAATGAGAAACACCTTCTACTCTTAAAAAGCAACTACACTGTATTTATTCTGTGGAATACCCAGCAGTGCATTCCACACTTAGCAGCATAATGGGACCTTCAAAGGTAGCCAAGTTTCACATGACCTTAGTAGAGCTGTCTGACATGAAGCGCCTGTAAGGAATGACCTGCGCCCCATTCATCAAGAGGGCCCGTTGACACTCCAGGCTGCTGTTGGGAGGCTTCCCCACCACTATTAACCCCTTACAAGACTAGAGGGGTAAGGGCACGCTGGGCAGAGAGGTCAGGGCTGTCTGTGTTTGCACTGCCCCAAATCTGGCCTTTTTTTGGGGCAGCCTTTATTGTTGCTGCTGTACAGAATTGGGTAGGTTCAGAGTTGCAGACATCTGACAGTTAGACAGCAGAGGAAAATGGGATAATGGTTTACTTAGAGATAGTATGGGTGTCAACAAAGATGCAAATAAATGCATGTACAACTTGCATTACTTGGTATTTACTTATAACCTCCATATTTTATTTGTGAATTTTACAATTCCAAATACAATGACACTGTTAGAGTATTTATTACAAAGCTTATAAAATAATTAAATATTATACTTATATTTTGGGGTTTTTTACACCATAATTCATACTTTGTGACATTACCATTTTCTCTTCTCAGTTGTTGTCACTTCAGTGAGCAAAGAAATATAAAGGAAAAGCTATGCATTAATAAATTAATTATTTTACATCAAATAATAAAAAGGGCACAATTATAAAGACAAAACAAAAGAATGTAGTGTTCCTAGAAAAAGGTTCTAGTTATACAATGTCCAGTATCAAGACAGCCTGGAGGCTGAGATATGTTTCCAATCATCATTTCTTGAAAGTACCAGAGGATACATGTTTTTCATTTAAATTGTTGCAAAAGGAACTGCTAATTTTAACTGGCCACTGTCTGGCATTAGTGCTGAGCTGGCTAATCTTACTCTGAAATGATACTTTAGAAAGCAGTAAAACTGGGCTACATTCATCAAAAGAAACTGTGGGATTTGGTGGAATTAGATAAATATATCCCTCATGCCACTCCTCAGAAAATTACAGTAGGACACAGCTCTGTCTCAGAACAGGTTTGGCAATGGTTAGGGTATTTTTTCAATGAAGAAACTTTCAAACTTGTACCATTTGATACATACTGTCCCTTCACATCTCCATTCTGAATGGCTACAAATATTATGTTTATAACATTTGTTTTCTTTCTTTGTGGACTCTGAACTATTTTGAAGTATTTTGAAAATGTTAAAAAATAGAATTAGCTTTTATTTGGTGAGATCACAAGTCATTGTTTTTTTCTTTTATTCCATATCATCTGTGTGAATAATAAGTAGAGAAGTTTGTCATATTCTTGGTATTTCTTTTGACTAAATGCTGAATCAAAATTTGCAGGGGGTTTTGAGATTAAGATGATGACATTATTCAGTTACGTGGCATTCAAACTTACCTTTTGAGGGGGAAAAAACCCTGCTTCTTTAAAATGTCAAGTTTAAGTTTTACTGTTATATCTAATGAGCTTAGGAAGTTGCAAACATAACCACTGAGCTCAACAAATCTGAGTTCCTCAAGTTAATTGAAAGGTGAAACTCTATTTTACTTGTATCACACAGAAATATTAGGTCCCAATGTTCTAATGATGAGTATTTCTAGGAATACATTTCAAGTTGCTAGTTAACCACCTCTGAGTTTCTACACAAAGCAGGAAGTGAATTCTTCAAAATAAAAATGTCAGCATGATGCAAAACTTGCTTTTCCAGCAGCAAGTATAATAGAGAAGCACCATATATCTTCATAGTGCACCATTTACTTCTTGTGGTCACACGTGTGACTGCCTTCTCCAACCAGCCCGTTGAATGTCTTTCCTGTAAAAGTGGCAGTAAAGAGCTTCCTTATCCAGAAGGGTATTAGCATAGAAGGTGTGAACAGGAACACTTTTGGTAGTGCCGTCTGTCCTGCTGCCACGCTGGACCTTGACTCCTGCAGCTGCCTGTTGTCTCCTTCGCTTGGCAGTCTTCTGCATTAGCCAGCCCTGGCTTCTTCCTCCTAACACGTGGCAGTGCCAAATGATGCTGGTAAAGAAGGAAGAACTGCCCCTTGAGTCTGTGTTCAAGTGATCCATAGTACCCTGTACTTTAGTGAGGTCAGCAAATAAAGAAAAAAATAAGACATTCCTTTTTCAGCATTTATGCACCAATTACTGTACCTCAGACATTCCATCGGAAAATATGTCTCTTCTGTCAGTGGTTTATGCGGCACCATGTCCTGCCTCAAAGCAAAGTTAATTCCAACATAAATTGAAGAGGAGACTCCTGTCACTGAAGGGTTCAGATAACGTTTTGCTGTCAATTCTTCTTCGTGCACGATTTACAACATTGCTTGCCATAAAATTTGTGGTTACAGACACCATGCTGGGGTACCAGATGACACCAAGTGAAGAAATCCACACAAGAAGGATCATCTGAAAGACAGAAATCCACACTATACCTAAGATGAGTTTTTAAGAGGTAATACTAATCAGGGAATAATTCCATATACTGGTAATGCATTGGTAATGTTAAAAATATTCAATTCAAAGATGAGACATCTATCAAAATTACTAGTTTCTTTTTAATTTCTTATATTAATAGAGAGAACAAGAGTATCAGAGACTTAAAATCAAAGAACTAAGGATGTTACAAATTAAAGCTCAAGGAAAGAGGAAGAAATGGGGAATAGACCACTGGTGAGTACATAAAGTCATCCTTGTTCTCAGTGTTGATTATAAATATTGTTCTGAAGCCAAGTACTTGCACAAATGAAGCTGCTCGGGTGCCGCAGGGCCTGTCGGCACAGTCACTGCGTGGAGTTTTCCTGGGCCTCAGGCAAGTGTCAGCTCTGCATGTACTTGATGTGCTCGGGGCCAGTGCTTGGGTCCCAGCACTTGCCCAAGGCACTTGTGTCTCTCCATTTGGCTCTGCCAGGGACCGGGGCCAGCTCTCTCCTAACGCTTCTGTTCGTTAGGTGTCCTGAATCAGGATTTTAGGGCTTTGCCTATGCCCTTTTGGGGAAATCTTAATCAACTGTAATGGGAAAAAGAAGCTGACAATGTTTCTGAAAAGCACAGCCTTTAATTACAAAAATAAATCAGACTTTTCAATTAAGATTTTATTTCACTTATTTTTATGTGCAAATCATTTATATTTGCAGCACAGTAAGTTTAAAAATACCTCAGAGCTGCTCCTTTCTACCGTGTTGTGGTGGATGCCTTATGTTTTTTTAAAAGAACAGAGTGATGATTCATACCAATGATTTATAAACAAATTCACCATGTCTGAGAGCAGTAAGACATTTAAATGAGATTTAGCAAAATTTATAGCTAGTCTGAAGTCTCCTATGAGCATGGGAAAAGATTCCCTTCAGCCCTGAGAACTCCTGTTTACAGGGTCAGTGAAATGCGTTTCAGTGGAGCCGCTCCTGCCTGCGTGCTCAGCTGGGCCACGCTGAGAGCTGCAGGGCAAGCGCTGCCTCACACAGCACTGCCCCCTCCTTCAACTGCTCTGGCCAGCAGCGCCGTAAGCAAGCAGGCTTTCTTACATGAACTTCTTACATGTCATTTTTTTCTATATATTTTTAAGAACATATTCCTCACAGTAATATTAAATATTAATGCAAGAAACTATAGAAAATACTGTTCTTAACCAGTTCTCCAGGTATTAAGAGCCTCAACACCACAGTGCAGCCTTCTCTCTTAACAGTGCAATGTTTCTATTCCCATTTGAGTGGCAGTAAGGGTGAAACTGGTAGCTTAGCACCACAGTTGGTATCACTTGACCTATTGTCCATCCAACAGAATTGACCATGGCATCAAAAGCAGATGAAAACCATGCAAAGCACAAGGTCTTTTGCCATCTGTTAATTTTTCCCAAGTTACCTGTAAGTTATTTTTAAGCATTATATAAGCAACGAGGAGGCTATGCTAATCAATCTTTACGTCCCCTTTGAAGATTGGAGTGCAAGGTAAACAGTACAGAAGTATAACTAACTGAAAACTTTACTCTTGGAATCTAATCCAAAGGCCATTGAAATCAGGAGTCTTTCTGTTGCTTTCTTCAATGGATATGGATTAGGCTGTCAGGTCCTTATTTCCATTTATTCAATTACTTTTATGTTGTTTTAATTTTGATGCATTTCAAGCGGTTAGGTTTGATGGCTAAGTGTTATGGTGACCGTAACTGCATGTAAGAGAGGCAGGGAACTGACCCAGCTTGTCCAGGGAAGTGTGCAAACTCTCCCTGAAACATTAATTTCTTCACTGTGATCACTGATCTGGAGCTGCATGGCTGATAGTAGACTGATTTGCTTCAATGTGAGTCCAGCACAGCTGGTTCCCTCTCTTCTTGCTGGTTTAGACAGAAAGTTAGAGAGCAGTGAAGAGATAATTGATCTCTAGAGCCTGACGACCCAGTTATAATAAAGAAGAAAGGTCTCCTGCAGATGTGAGGAGAGAGAGGAACAGGCCAAGGCCAAAATTAGTAGCAGACATTACTCCAGACATGAAGCATTGCAGAGGGAGGCTGGGGAGAAAGGAGAGTGTTTGCTCTATCATGACAAAAAAAGGATGCAATACCAAAAATTCAACTACAGAACTTTTGAAGAAAGAAGCATTTTGACTGTTAGCAGCATTTAATTGCATATAAAAACAGTGAAATTGCTTACTTTCTCCTTTTTAGGAACATTTAATTTAAATATTCAGTTTAACTGAGTTTCAGCCTGGGAGAAGTAGTCTAGATTCAGATCCCCAGATAAGTTTGATTGTTTGTGGACTTCAAAACACCAAAAATAAATGGTATGTTCTCACTGCTCAATTCAAAAGTCACTATTTTTAATCATTTAGCAGTACCAGGGTAGAATTATCTGATGCGATTCAACAAGATAGTCTAAAGATGCAGGTCAAACCTAAAAGGCAAAGCTTCCTTTAACAGATCCTTTTAAAATCTTCTCCTGTCTCAGTTACACTGTCCTACATGCTTTCAGAGGGTTCTCTTTGAGAAGAGACATGCTTCAGTGACAGTAAAGCTGAGAAAGTTTGGACAAGAGTCATGTGTGCCGAATACTAATCCCCAGTGGGACCAAGGTGAGTTTTGCTGGATGCGGCAGTGCCGCCTTCTTCAGCGGCTGGGCTAGGCTTTACCTCTCTTGGCAGGAGCGGGGCAGAAGTTGGTGTTGCAGGCCCTGAGCGTTGCGGGTTTCTGATGGGGCAGGCACCCAGCAGCCGGTCTCCCCTGGCGCAGACACTGAACACTGCGGGTCTGCACTCCCCCGCCGCATGTCACTGTGCACTGCCAGGAGGAGAACAACAAGAAGCCACATCTCATTAGAGAGAACCTCTCAGGGCTCCCAAAATCCTAGGGAGAAACATTCGCAGGCTTTGGATGAGACTTTCAAAGAAAGAGAGGTCAGGCTCAGATGTGCTGATGCTCAGCAATCCCCACCAGGCCCAGGGTTGCAAAGATCTGTGCAGCTGTTTCCCATGTGGAACTGTTCAGAAAGTTTGATTATTTAAGGATTCAGCTGAAAATACAGAACTTTCTTTGATACTTAGATATGAACTGAACATTTAAGAAAAAAAATCTGTTCCTGATCGTCTGCACTGATTTCTTTTGAATTTGGAGCCTCTGGGCCCAATGCTGTTGTCTGAACAGAGATAAAACTCCTGTGAGAACTGTAATAATGACAGTACCTAGGGAAAAATACAATGTATTTGCAGAAAGATCTATGAAATATTTTAAAATGAATAAGCCTTTTACTTGTATGTGTTTCATGAAAAGTTGTCCTTAAGATAAATGTGATCATTTTCATCTGATTAGTTATCAGACATACATTGTTCGTGTAAATGTTACTAAATGTGTGTCTCATTGATAATGCGACTCATAAAGCAGACAAGTTCCAGAAATACAGAAGCTTGTTTGCAAAAAATGTAGAAACAAATGCAGACTGATCCCATAATTAATCATAGTATTTAGGAAATTCCAGACAATCTGTGCAGATGGTCCAATATATTGTGCGTATAGATATGTAACAGTTCAACCACAATGCAGTTTGAAGATGCCTGAGAAGGAAGAGTTGGAAAATGAGCGTGGAATGTAGTGCCTCTGGAGCAAAAACAACATTTTTGGGTGACATTCTTCAGTTCCAGGACAAAGAAAGGAACTGCATCAAAATACATGATGAATATGGACCAGCTGCATCAGGTTTCAGTGGCTGAGTGGAGTGACCTTCCTTAGGGAAGGGCTGTGCGCAGGAGACACCTGTGCACTGGTGCACTTTTTGGTATTTTCAGTACAATCACAAGCACATTGAGATAGACTCAAGCTCTAGGGGATATTGTTTAAACTGCTGCATAGAAGCAAACTCATGCTTTTTAGAACACGTCTACAAGCCAAGACATGCATTTACTGCTGGAGATAAAGAAGTAGTCAGGGCAGAGAGGGAAAGGCAAGAAAGCTTCTCATTCCTACCTGCTGCCAAGGGGAGGAATACCAGCCAGACATCGTGTTATACACGGTGTGCACTGGACAGGGCCCATTGTTGCAAGCTTCTTCCAGGTCTATATTTGGTTTCTTGATGTTCCTACACCTTCTTGGAGGAAAGGTGATCAGTTTCCCATGAATGCTCTTCTCACCACATTTCAGCTCTCGCTTGTGCACACCTGGGCCACAAGAGGCTGAACACTGCAAAAACAAAGTACAAATTAATTACGTGAAATTACAAAAGCAAAAGCATTATATAGCTGAAATCACAGAGAGCATGTTCCTGTCCATAACCTGTAAACTGAAATACAGATCCCGGTCTGTTGAAAAATAAGGACATCGGGGTACATCTAACTAAAGCTTGATGTAAAGACCCATGTGGTTGTGTTTGTTTCTTCTGTGTGGTCTGTGCACACCGTGAGTCAACGCTCTCAAACAAGACTAGCAAAGTAACAGAGCCCCCATGTACCCGCGCCACCTACCTCACCCCAAGAAGAAACCGCCCACTGGAGCCGGTCGTTTTTGGGGCACCGTCCTAACACGCAGGGCTGCTGGGATTCGGGTTTCTGCTCTTTGCTGCACATGCTCTCGGGCAAGATTTTCTGCTTAGGAGGACTGGTACTTTTGCAGTAGACATCCCGTTTCTTAACACCTCTCCCACAAGTCTTGGAGCACTGTGATGGAAAGAAATAGGCATTAGAGCAAGAGGAAATGAAAACTGGCATGAGAGAAGAGTATAGAAAACAAAGTTCACGTGCTATGTAGCACCTGTAAGTCTTTAAAAATATAATTCTATTTGCATATAAATATATATATATGGAGAGAGAGAGTAACATAACATTTATATGCCACTTTTTCAAGTATTGTCTGTTTTCTTTATGTAGATTACCAACTTTTATAGCAAGTGACTTGCACAGCAAGACGGACTCTCAGACAAACAGCTAAGATGTTTGACAAAAGATGTGTTAATAGCCAAGGCTACAACTGAAGCTTCAGGCAAGTCACTAGGGAATAAATACACATTACAGAAATGTGGGTTAATTTAAAACACAGTCTATATTTTTTCATTGCCTTAGCAAGCAACAAAATACATTAATGAGTAATTTCTGGTGTAATAGGGAAAAAAATGGACCTGAGATAATGCTGCTGGCTTTCTACCATTTTGCAGTCTCTTTCAGTTTAATCCTATTATTACTTTTAATAATAATTAACAGGCACATTTCAATGCAGAATCCTATGTCTCATACCATAAATGGTTTAAGAAGATTTCATGAAAGCAGAGATGTACTGACGATGCAATAGAAATACCTGCTTGCTGAAAAAAATCTGGTTTATGATCTTTCCCCTAAACAAACAAGAAAACTCTTTACATTTAAATTGACGCTCTGATCTATGAAGAGAGACCAAGGGTGGTTTTTTTTTGTTTTGTTTTTCTCTTTTAACTCATTTGCGTCTGTGATATAGCAGCTCCTAGTCTTAGAAGTCTTAGAAATCTGCTGCATTGATCAGCGAGCCTGTCACAACATTTCAGCAGGACTGAAGACCTGTTTTTCAGAGGCCTCCTTTGTAAAATCCCAACTTGAGGTATGTATCGCCTAAAGCACAGACAAATGCATACTTAGTGCTATCAAGGAAAGGTTGAACATATGAATATATTTGAAAACGGTGCTCTTTCCTTTTCAGTATCTAATCATCTTCTCCTTTTCACTTTCATGCCATGGTAAGATGTTGAAAATTTAAAAAAAACAACCTTGAGTGTAGCACTGCTCTACTGCTAGACTAGTTACACTCAATGTACAGAAGTATTGTCCTTGTAAATCATAACTTTATCAGCCCATAATTCAAAAAGTGTTCATTAATATGTAAATTAACCCCAAATGATTCTTTATTTCTTGACTGCCTCTCATCTCTAAGAAAAGTTAATATTGCTGTGGGAATTAATCTCAAGGAGAGATTCATGGCTTAAAAAAAAAGAAACATTACAGCCTTAAGCTATGACACCAGAAGAAAAAAAAAAAATCAAACTTTTTTATGTAGTAAAAAGGAACGGACGTGTCTACTTCCAACAAGCTCTGCTGTCTAATTGCCTATAAAGGCTAGTTAAAAAAAAATATATAGTTTACATATTATTTTAATGAGTGAAGCCTCTTGCAAAACATTAGTCCCAGTTCCATCTCCTTTAGCAGATTTTTGGCAGTATTTTCATTATGCCAGCAAAGGAAAAAGTAAGTCTTTATCCATTTTACCTGAGACCACAGTCCAGGGCTCCACTCAGGTGGGCAGTCCTGGTTATTGCACACCTGCACTTGGGTAGGGGTGCTCACAGGACACAGGGAATGGGCCACCACCTCCTCTCTTTGGAAAGTCTTCTTCTGGACACACTGAATGAGGCGGCTCTGCTGCCCTCCTCCACAAGATTTGCTGCACATGCTCCATTCTCCTGCCAACCAGCTTAAAGGAGAAAATATATATTAGAAACTGTGAATCCAATTAACTTCATAAAATCAATGCATGTGAGCCACCTCTCTCATAGGATTTATTCAGTGATTCTGCTTAGCTTGCTCTGCTGATACACTGCTATCTTTTCAAGCGATCAGAAAGCCTGAATTACATAATCTATTACATATCATCTATATAAATCTATCTTCAAAGCATGGAACATTTTAATAGGGATGAAGTATAAATCATATAAATGGAAAAACTGCTGCTACTTCTTTACTCAGAGTTCCTGTCTACTAGAACAAACTTGTATATAAATCTGACTTGGAATTTGTAATTCCTTGGGGATCAGAGTGATACTGCCATTGAGAGTTTCAGGATATCTAGAAAACCTAGGAATCTGGAAAATAAATCATCATTCCTTTTAAGCAGGTATATGAGCTTAATTGAAAATACTATCTGTAAAACGGGAGAAGGTCACTGCGGTGTCCAGTGATATTTATGTCATGCCTTAGCTTTCTTCAGTTTACAAAAAATGAATTTGCCTCTCAAAATCTGTAGCTATGTCCCTAGGTTTTGGAGGATTTTTATGTCCTCAGACAAAATATTTAGCAGAAAATAATGTAAAGTCTGAAAAACAAACAAACAAAGAAAAAAGTATGATTTTAACCAGACAAAAGTTGTTAGGCAAATCTGCACTTGAGGTACAGGCAAGTTCCATAATTATCACAAAAAGCACCTGGCGGCTGAAGAATTATTGTCAGTTACTTAGGATAAGTTCAGTTTTAAAATCTTAAAAACAACTCAGTATTTGTATTACTGAAGCACTAGGTGGGTCCCCAACCTCTGTGTAATGCTGTGCAAACATAGAGCAAAAGGTCTTTGTCCTCACAGGCTCCCAGTGTCAGACCATAAATAACAACCGGGGAGGAAGTGAAGAAAGAAACAGAAGTGAAGAAAGCAGAGGAAATGCTAAATGACTAAATGATTACTCAAGATATGAGTTCTTATTTAAATACCAAGCATTGAATTTAAGATCAGAATTTTCAAAATAGCAGTTTTATGAACTTTTCATAATTTATTTCACACAAAAAAAGTCCTTGTTTCAAATCCAGCTACTTTTGACCTATCCTGTTTGGTGCTTTTTTTTTTTTTTTTTTCTCCCCCAAGTTTCCATCTGCAGGGGCTCTTGAATCATTTATTCTGTGTTTTAATATCTTTGACTTAAAACACACACAAGAATCTATGGCTTCGAATGCCATTCTGAGGGACTGTTTCAGGAACCTTTCCATGTAAACTATTCTCTTTTTGTATTCCTTTTTAAAGACAAAGGCTCCCTGCATTAGCTATGGGTAGCTTGGCAGCTTCACTTGCTTTATATTTTTTAGGTGTCTTATAGGTGGTCNAGGGAGCACAAGCCTTGTGACAACTGAAATAGCTGCCTATACAAAATTTTCATGTCAGAAAAGAGTTTTTTTCTTTTCACTGTGTGAAAGATGAATATCATTGCATTTGCCTGCTCTTTCATATCTCTCTGAATTCAAAAGAAATTTTAATTTGTGAAAATGAATTAAAAGCCTATCTTGGAAAAACTCTTTTGGGTACAGGAGGAAACTTGAATCACAATCTGGTAACCGTCAGAAGTACTGGGGAAATATAAAGGGTCTCAATTAGGACAAAGAAATGTTAGTGTGAAAAAAAAAACCAGTAGTTATGTAATTCCAGAACAACTGAGAAAGTCTCTTTTTATCTGAATTGTAAATATTTGAAATATTGAAACACAAACTTCTGGAAGTTTGCAGGCCTTTTGGAAGAATGCAGGCTACAACATAAAATTACCTCGCTTTGATATCTCTGCTCTGGAAGAGCAACTGAAAATGATCATTTTAAGAGCTTACTCACCAAAACCATCAAAAAAGTCCCCCTCTTCACAGAGGAATGGCCAATAAACCTGCTTTAATGTCCTCTAATAAACTGCCATTTTCCAAGATTAACTGGGCTGTGATCCAACAGTATCTTTCATTAGCTCAAATATCTAAATAATTATGACCAGATTTGGCAGCTCCAAAATCCAACAAAAACAGTGTGTAGTCCTGGTGCCTTTCTGTGTCCGTACTGTTGGGATAGTAGCTCTGTTCCTCCTCAGATTAATAACTCTTTGTTCTCATGCAATAATTATTCCTCGCTGAGCTTTACAAGTCTTCACTTTCATGTCACAAGACTGGCACTCTTGTAGCTCTGTCTACTATTCACCTTCCTCCCCCGCCTATTGTTATGGTTGCCACATTTGTTACTTCTTTATTTGCTCGTTATTAAGCTTAATGCTTTGTTTCTCCATGATATTTAGTAGTACTAAATTTTTTTGCTGTTTGGCAGTCTGGGCTTTAGGGGAGTCGCTCCATGCCCCAAGCTTCTGGCAGATTCCTCAGCAGAGCTCATCAGCTTTACTGCCCTTCGGTTCAATGGCAATCTGATGATTTAAGACATGGTCCCACATGTAGTTCCTCAATACATTTAATGTATTTTGAGGATTAAGAAAAGGAATTAGTGACTTGAATACTTTCTTTGCAGTTTGGGGACAATGGTCCTTTTCTGGGTTTTGTACTTTTTTAGAGATCAAGTCATGAATTGCGTGGCAAAGTACAGTAAGACTATTAAAGCAATTCAGGCTAAAAATATTTCATTGCATGTCAAAACAGACACGCAGGTATTTTCAGCGATACACCTATCAGTGGATCATCAAAGTGTATGAGGACCAGTAGTTAAGAGAAATGGAGATTTTTGTGTATGATCTAAATACGGAGGGAATAAAAATGAAGCTCATGTTTGTGTAACTTCTTTATATCAACACAACGCCACATAGGATGAAGGTAAACCATAAATCACTCAAATCATCTCCTGGAAATATCATAGACCCTACATTTCTGTCTATACAATATTGAGCCCACTGGATAAAAATACTTCTGGCAGAAGCTAAGTCACATATAAAGAGATTGTGTTTGGCTACAATGATGCCTTAAAATTAGTATTCAGAAAATCATGTGGCTAAATGCAATCTAAAGAAACTGCTGAAGCAGGAACATGGAGCTCTCATGGGACATGCTGCCATTATTTAAACCTTATCTCTACCCATTTGTGGTCGCACTGTACAATTTGCCACTTGGATTTTGTGTGCTCTGCTGTAATCTTTAAATTTTGCAGGAAATTCCAATCTATTACTGGACCATTTTTGAATATGTTAAACATATTGCAGACTAGAGATTTTTAAGTAAAAACAAAACCACTACACAGCATAGATGTCTTTCAACTTTACCCCATCATCCTTTCGTGGATTGGGGGAGATAGGGAAAGCCTATTAAACTATAAAATGTGCTCTTTTTAGGTAAGTAAGGGAACAGGATCAGCCAATTGCTTTTACTACACATTGCTGTTATCACTGCAGAGTAAGGACAGCAGATGAGGACAGGACAAGAGCTTTCCCCATTTCTTCTACCTTTGGTCGCCATGCACCACTATGCAACTATCTTCATTTTCTCACTGAACACTCAATTTTTCCACCTATACAGATGTCAAATTCCTTGTACAACATCATGCAGCATTTCTGATCTTTAATATAAAGCTAAAATAATGCTATGGCTGCAAAGACAGACAGGCAGAAGTGGGGAAAAAAAAAAAAAAAAAGAAACAGCAGAAGACAGACCACCAGTATGCCCTTAAATCTACCCATTTATATCCTAACCCACATGAAACTGTTCCATTATATGAACACACAACTACTTTTTTTCCAAAGTACCCCAACCACAGCTCATATAAATCAGTGAGCCTCTTGTTTTTAAAGGAACTCTACTGATTTATGCCAGCTGGATTCTAAATACTTATCTATATGTCAGTGTCTTCCTTTGCATCTCATTTGCTAACACAGGAACACAGGAAATGTCTCCATATTTATTTTTGTGGGCACCCGGAGCATTGCGGACAATTTATTTGGCTTAGACAGTCATCTTACTGGTATAGTAAGGCACTACGGTACACTTTGTCCAAAAATCAATAATTACACTTCACAAGGCTCTTTTAAGCTAATCTAATACGTGGAACCTGAGTCCCAGGGCCATGCTGCCACATGGGGAGTAGCACTTTACTCAGGAAATGGTCTTATTGATTCAAGGTGAGTAAAGGTGGCAGAATAGGCCTCTAAGTAACTTAGATTTAGTCGGTGTCACAAAGCTAACCCCAGCATGGTGACAGAGCTGCAAGCAATCCCCAGGAGGTCTTGCTTAGCAATGTTGGAAATACCACTCCTATTATTATCATTGGGCAAAAGCCTACACAACTAACATTTTAAAACAATTACTGTTTTAAGTTCCAGCCTAAAAGTGGGCTCATCGAGCAGGCTGTACAGTCCTGCCTGCCTGTCAGAGAGGATGTCTTTCCTGGCAAAGATAGACGTAAGGCACAGAGAAAAGGTCCAAAACCAAAGAGCACTTACTATGCTGGGCAGGGATTGGTATTGCAGAGTTTTGTTTCAGTTAAAGGCTTTGTCCTTGGGCCGCAAAAGGAAGAATTAACTTGCGTGCGATGATCTTCTAAACAAATTGCTTTTGACGTAATGCGTCCTACAGAAGTATTAGAAAGAAATATAGTCAAATAAATGATTACTTAAAATGCAAGTGAAAAAGTAGTAGGGAAGAATTTTAACCAAACAAGACCAAGCTCATGCTTGGTACAGTTCTTGAACTAAATAGATTGTAATTTGACAACGTGTTTTTAGCGCTGATTTTCCTCTCTGCAGTGCTACTGATGATGAAACAATTTAGTTATGAACAAGCAGTACATTCTTAAAGCTGTCCGTTAATATTTGCAAAAACATTTTGCAGTTCTTTCACTTGGTCTTTGCAGACTTCAGAGCTGTGGAAGCTCTTGCACCTCTAGTTCCAGCAGCAGGACAGATTAGGGAACGCTACAAATGCCTTAAGGGATTAAGTGATTTTATATATTTATCCTTTAATTGAGATGGATCATTTACTTCACACGTGGTTAATTGGTCACAGCAAGCCAAATTAGGAACAGTTGTGTCTGTTGCCTTTGTACGTCTGCTGTTATATTTCTTTTAAAGGGATGCAAGAAAAAATACAGCTGTCATATTTTATACCCACTCTACTCTTAGTGGCTCTTTTTCCCATGAGGAGTCTACTGATATGCTAGGAAAATGGACAATATCCCAGGAAGATATTCCTAAATATCACCTAGATTTTTTTTTTCTTTGGGAGGCTGGGGGTGCAATACAGGAGCATAGCAGCCCATCCACTTCTTTGCTATTACAGATAACTGCATCATATAACCTTGGGCATATGACCCAGCTCCAATTGAAAAGCATTTCATTTTTAATTCTCAATTCATTTGGCAAGACTTCCCACATGCCAGTTTTCTGCTTTCATTAAATCCTAAGATTACTTTCACTGACAGAACATCCAGGATTTAGAAAAATAAATACATGGTGTGAACAGATCAAATACCTAGAGGAATATGGTAATAAGAAATCTTTAGCCTGTATAGAATTTCAGAGTGACCTGACTTAACTCAAATATTTGTAATTAAACAATGAGAGGATCAGGGTGAAACTGTCAGTAAAGGTCTTGATAATATTTTCATCTTCAATTACTCTCCACAGAGAGATACATTTCATTCCTTATTATTTGTTATCTTTCTATGTTCCCAAATTACAACTACATCAAAGCACATACTTAATTCCCTCATAACATCAACTGCAAGATATTGCATGGCTAAGACTGACCTGAAGAAGAAATATTGGGTCACCTTAAGTGACATTAACTGAGATAGGGATGAGATTCTTTTTGTTTTTCTTAACTATATAGGAAGTGTGAAAGTGCTTCGTTGATGTAATAAGTTGTCAAATAACAAAAGAGACTGGGCTTTGGACAATCTCTTGTATCTACTGATGCAGATGTGTGAAATTTAGAGGTGTTGAAACATTTGAGCTGCCTTTAAAATGAAGAAGGGAGGTCAGGGCCGGGAAGGTACCTACCCCCGCCGCAGGTAGCCGAGCACGCGGACTGCACCGTCACCCACGAGTGGCTGCGTCTCCTCACTGAAGTCTTGTTCTCCTGGGGGCTTTTGGAAAAGGTGTATTCCCAAGCAATCCCAGGATTTTTGCCTTGTAACAGGATCTAGAGAAGGGAATTGAGGGTTGGTTTAAGAGTGCAGAGGGTCACAAAGAAAGTGCTGTCACTCTGACCCAAGCTGAACAACACATACTACACACATCCCGTTTACACACATCATGTTTCTGACAAGCCTCAGGAAACTGAATTCTCCAGTAAAAGAAATGTTATAGGAGTGTGACCGCTGGCCATAGGCACATTCTTTGTCACTTAACCCAGAGAGCCCAGCTCTTGGAGGCGTTTCTCAGTGTCTCCTCCTCTATTTAATATTTTAGCCTGCATATAAACATTTTTATACAGTTCAGTGTATTCATTCCTCCATAGTCTGAATTAAAATCAATGCAAGATGTAGGAACATCTGACACGTATCTAAATTTGGGGAAAAAATTCTATTTAACAACATAGATTTTAGAATTGATTTTGGCAGCTAAGTATATTTATATTCATTACCAGAATTTACAATTATAGAGCTCTAAGCTTTTATTTCTTCTTCAATATGGGCCTAGTCATACCAATATAAAGAGCAGGTGCAGTTCACTTCCTAAATATGCTTTTCAATAAGCACTAGCATTTCAGTCTGATTCCAGTTTATGTTAATGATGATTGTTCAAGATACTCATAAAATACAGCAGGCAGTACCTCACATGACATCTAAACTGAGTACTTAAGCAGATCCGTGTAGGTAAGACCTTTAGCTAGATAGGTTTCAAAATATCATCAAACTTACACTTATGCCTTTTACAACCTAGAAATTTAATAACATTATAATATGTGGCCAAGTATTTTAAAGTATTCAAAAAATTTACATATTGGAAAAGAGAAATTACCCATGACAGTGAAAATTCAGACCAAATTTACATGAACTTGAGCTCAATAATGTTTAACACATGAAGGATCTGGACTGCATAATGTTTTCTTTTCTAAAAGAAAGAAAAATGGATGCTATATATTCCATTCTAAGCCAAATATTTCAATGAGTCTTGATAATGATCCAAACTGAGAATATAGGAATTTAGAACTATAAAAAGCAAAATACATTCAAGAAAGGAGAGTATACATCTTCTCATTGAAGGACTCAGATTAGCAAACCTTCTAAGCATAGGTACATTCATATATGTAAACAAGACTAAATGCTTTATTGCAAGGGGCATGTCTCAAATGCCTTGAAGTACCTGTCCCTATGGCCACTGAATACCCCTGAAATAAACAATGTTACTCTATTTGCTGTACAGACGAGTCACACAAGTAGATCACAACAATTTTACAAGAACAGGATTAAAGAAAACAGTGGAATTGGACTGCTGGGCAAATTCAAGCTGCCCTGCCCAGCACAAGACAAACATCTAATGTGTGGAGCTTCAGAACACATTCTTCAGTAAAAATTTTTTTCCACAGAAATGCATGGCATAAAGCCACTTCTCAAAAAAAGAGTATTTATTGGGCCTGTCCAAATATAGGGAAGCAAACAAGTTTGAAAAGCAGCTTAATTTTCTTCCTGTGATAGAAGAAGTTCGGCAAACATCTGAGTGGTCAAAGTGATGGTCCTCTGAGGAGGCACCTTTCCCATTTCAGCAGATGCTCTGCGCTCCTTTGAGTGCTGAGGCTGAAATCCCAGCAGGGTACCTAGGAAGCCCAGTAGTCAAAAAAAGGGTCCTTATTCCCTGTCCATACCTCAGGACCAAGCATCATGATCAACTCTTGTCTCCAGATTCTGACAACTGTGATAAAACTGCTGTATATGGCCAAAATAGTCTTCTGAAAAATGCCTTCCACTACTAGTTAGCTGTTCTTTATTCTGAGATAACAAGAGACAAGAAATGCAACTGAGTATCAGGATTCAGAGGGAGGGAGGACAAGAGAGAAGAAACATGGCAGCCAGTTTCACTCCTGTTGGGCTGATGTTGTGGTGCTTCAACACAGGGCAAGATCGAGCGGCGCTGACCCATCCCAAGGCAGAAGCAGCCCCACTCGTACCTGGCCCTTCGGAGAACATCACAGAGCGACGCCGGCACCAGCCGCCGGAGCGGGCGCCTGGGGCAAGTGCCGCTCACGGAGGCGGCTGCCCGGAGCGGGTGCGCGGGCGGCTGCCCCTCATCCAGCGCGGCGGGGCGGGCGGCCTGGAGAAGGCAGAGCCCTGACTGCCCGAGGCAGCAGCCGAGCGAGGGCTGCTTCCCACCCCGCAGGGCACAAGAGGGAGCGTTTAGAAAGCAAGAGCTGGACTGCACTTAGCGTGTCTTACCCTGCCTCCTGTATCGACCCATTTCAGCTACGTCGCGAAGGGCATTGGACACCCCATACTGCAGGGTACAAAAGCCTGTAATTTAAAGTTGCTTGCACTCAGCTGAAAAATGTTGTTCAACGCATAATGCTCAACCAAGTTTTCATCAAGAATGCAATGCCATTGCAAAGTTGCAATTTTGCCAAAGTAATGAGCATATAAAAAAAATTCTATTGTACTTTCAAACATTCATTATAAAGCCCTTCCTTAGCAACCCAGTAACTGCAGTCTGCATATACAGCCAAGTTATCAGACCCACAAATTTGGAAAGACCTCCAATGCTAGTCTACTTAACTGGATGCATTCCAGCATCTTTTCAGCCAACTGGCATTTGCTCCCAAATTTACAGCTGGCAAACAACCTCCTTAAACATTTCCAGTTCCTCAACTGAACTGTTTAATGTCTACCTTTAACACACCAACCACCTGACTTCAGACACAACACTCAGCAGCTCTGACCGCAGGGCGCAGAGTTATAAAATTTACAGCTTCTTGAGTTGGAAAACCACAGCCTCTACGGCTGGAATCTGCCAGGCCTATTCTGAAGGAAAAGAACTGTGGCCTTTGCTTAAGGCATGAATGTTAAAAAAATGGATAAGCTGAATCCTCCCGAGTGAAGAACCTTTTCCTTTTACTGCTAATTTTGATTTCAAAGCTACACTCAAACATTTTCTAAACTAGCTGTACATCTGCTCCACTAATACTCTTTCTTTTCATTTTTTTTTTCTTTCAATGACTATGATGAGCCTCCTATAAAATACTGTCTTTTGGGGGAGGGGGACAAATTATTAAAGTGCCTATCAACATGTCATTTTTATGACTGATTTGTGCTTTTAAGGTATGTTTTATTGTAAGATGTTGTATGTGAAGTTACTTGCAAATACACTGAATTTAGAGAGATTAATTTAGACAAGATAAACTCCTTTTTCCTCCACAGTATTCTGTCTAATGCATAGGAAGACATAAAAGTGTCTGGCAAGTCTGACAAGTTGAAAAAAAAATGAATGATTCTGTCTGTGGAGGACAAATAGACATGCCTTATAGTGTGAAGCTGAGCTTTAAAAAAAGAGCAAAATAAAAGAATAGCTACTGCTTACTCACATGTGCTTCATGTATTTCATGCATCTTTTACTCATTCTGCATTTGCATAGCCTAGGAAATGGACATAAACCTAAATTTGGGATGCCAGCATATATAGTAGGTTTAACCTGTTTTTTCAGATTGCATCTTCATTTCCTGTGTCTCCCCCATTATAAATCTTTGATAATTTGCTTAGGTATAAAAGCAGTCGGCTTTCTCCTGCAGGGCAGACAGAGTAGTCTGTGTGTTTGAAGAGTGGTGGCGTTGCTATTTTCAGTCCTGTGTTTTCAGCTACCATTACCCACATGGATTTAATAAATGCTGTAACATCCAGCATCCTGAGCTGATTCTGATTTCTTCAATTAATCAGGTTTATTCCACTGACTTCCATGAGTTTACTTTGTTTGCAGTGCTGCACATCTAAGCATGGAGCGCACGATACTGGGAGAAACTGTTAAAACAGCTGAAAAATGCAGGACTCTTGGCTAAAATGGGCAAATATCGGATGTTAGCCATGACAGTGGCTGATAGCAAGAGCTTCAAAGGGAAGTGAGAACCTGTAGAGAAAAAAACCACTGCAAAGGAAGAATTACCCTGTAACTAGCTAGCCATACCTTAAAACAAAAGCATCTTTATGCCTTCCATGTTCCTACAGCTACTTTAAAAACAATCTTAACTAAAAGCTTATGAAAAACTATTGTTTTTCAAGAAAGACCACTAAGGTCATTAAAGGGGGAAAAAAAAAAAAAAAAGATAGGAAAAGAGTATCCTTGAAAGGTCCTGTATGATCTCATTCCTACTTCAGCTGTTTCAAATTTGTCCTCTGTTGTTAGGGGGTCTCCATCCTTTTACTGTTCACATGCTAAATGTACAACCTTCAGGGATACCGTCCAGCTAATCTCTCTTCACTAAAGGAGAACTCTTTTATCCATTATACTGCATCAACATCTGTATCTTATAAGCACATCTTAGCTCTCTTTAACTGACTTTCTCTTTAGGGGAAATCAGTACAAATTTATCATCTAGTAGCTAATAATAAATGTAATGCTTTATAACTGCAGCTTGGCTTTCTCCCAATGGCAGCTAGATCATCAGTAAAGTCATTCCACCTGGCTTCCTTTCTCTCTCTCTCTCTCCTTTTTTCCCCCCTCCCCTCTATCGACAAGGAGGAAGTGATTTACTGCTTTTAATTAGATATTTTCCTGCTTTGAAGCTCCCTTCACCTTCCCTTCCTGTGGATGGTTGCCTCTTTGTAAAGCATCCTTTCCATCTGTTACCTATTGCTATCAAGATAAACCATCTTTCTTCACCAAGATTTCATAATTCCCTGATTCAATATTTCACCAAGTGTGAGGTAGAGTTCACTGAGGATACTGGTTCTGTCTCATCCTGAAAAAATGGGCTTTTTCAGATCTGATTGGAGTCTCGAGTCAATTCATCCTTCATCACCTCACTGACAAAACCCAAAATCAGAATACCAAATTCCCTTGTTTTCAGGTTAGTTTACTAATCCACACTTGTACAGGACGCTCAAGCCCACATAACAGCTGAGTTTGTTTTGCCCTTTCAGATCTTTGCCCAATTCCAGCCCGACGGGGAGGACCCTGGAGCCTGCAGCAGGAAGGGCTGCAGGGAATGTCCACGGGCACTGGGGCCTGCGCTCGGCACCGAAGGCAGAGAAACGAGTGCCAAAGCAGGCGGCATCCTCCTCAAGTCGCACCTTTATCACCTGCCAGAAAAACTCCACCAACATCTAAATGTTGACCTTTGATTACCTCTGATCCATTGAGTTTTTGGTTTCTGCAAACCCACAATCACTAAAGTGTCAATAGTACAACTGCACCTTCAGAATGATGCACAAGTTCTAATGGGCCTCCATTCACCGGCTCGACAGCGCTGCCTTCCCTCCGCATGTGATTTTGCTGCTTCAACAGGCTAGGAAAAGCTCCAATGAACTCCTAAATCTGGCCATACATTTACACTCCAGTAGCTGATCTCCAGATACACTAGTCCTCCACCTTTCATTGCACATTCTTGACACAGTGTCCTCCTCCAAAAACATTTGGCCAGGGAAGTTTGGATTTTTTCTTTCAGAACCTAGTTAAATTTCAGAGCCACTGCTCTTCGTCTTCTTTGGTATGCTGGCTCCCATAATAATACACTTATATATGAATATATAAATATGTATAAAACATTTTCTAAAATTCTGATATAATTATGAAAACACTGTATCATTCTTTTTTTGTCTCTTATACTTTCAAATAATGACTTATGACTGCAAATCTAATTAAATGATATGTGCCAAAGTGAACCATTGAGAACCTGATAGAAAATAGGCATAGGAATACTCTGTACAATAATCACATATATTAAACAGGTAGTGTGACTGCAAGGCTGGACAATTGCTGTTTCTGCAGTATGGAAGAAAACAGTGATTTTTTTTTTTTTCCCCCTTATTTGGGTTGCATCTTTCTCGCTTAATACATGCTTCAGATGTCTCTTTCAAGTAAGTACTTTGGGGAACGGCTGCATTTCCAAGGAAGTGACAGCCCTGAGCACAGACTTGTTGGGACCCGCTCCCGAGAGCGCAGGTCCCTCCTCCCGCGCGGATGCAGCCGGACACGCGGAGCCGGAGCCCGCGGTGCCGCAGGCTGCCCCGGGCCTCGGGCAAAAACCTGCGCTCTTACAGTCTGCACACCAGCGTCTGGCAAAACCACGACTGGATTTAAGAATTCAGTTTGCTGAATATTGCTTAAGTTATTGAAAAAAATATTAACTGCTGCTCCTAGAGCTATATATTTGGGGAATACACAACTATAACATTTTTAGTTGCTACAATCCCTAGTTACCAATGCTAGCGGTGTAGGTATTTCAATAAAAATACAAGGGAAGTTTAAATAAGCTCTCATAGGAGCAATAGCTTCAAGTTAAATGCTAAATCTTAATAAAACTGTTTAGCATAATTTGATAGGATGAAAATAGAAGTGTTACTTGGCATTAAAGCAAGATTTTTTTTCCCCTTTAATCTCTACTCTGTAAATTTTTTTTAACACTATGCAGCCAAGTCAGTCATCTTGTTGGCAATTTAATATTCATACTTTAGTTCCATAATAATGTAGTTCAATTTCATTTGTATTTTGACAAATAAAATTCCCAATAGTTCAGTTTAACATTTCATAGTATTTATAAGCGTGCTTGCTGCTTTGGTGTAAGGCTATTTTGGAAATGATTTGCAGACCAGGAAACATGTCTGTAACTTGCAGACCAAAGTCTTCTTTGGACTAAAACAGCCTTATTAACATACACTCCCAAATGGAAATTTTTCAACTGAGAAAACAATGCTTTAAAAAGGCATTGCAAATCATGCCAATCACTCATGAAAATACTCAACTGTTAGCCCATGAGAAGCTATCCATCCTAAAGCAAAACACTTAAGCATGTTAAAGGTCCATGGGCTTCAATGTCTCTTTTTAAAGAGGATTTTAAGAACATTAATCAAGAGGAGTATCAGTAAAGCTCTTACACATTCCAGACAAAACCTGTACTGAATAGCTGTAGCCCTTGACCAAATATTCCTCGAAGAATATACTTCATATCACAGTCTCTAATTATGGTGTTTGTTAGTTCATCAGCAGAGGGATGTAAGAGTGAGAGCACTGGGGTGTCCATCCCTGCTGAATTGCTGCCCAGAGCAGCTCTGGGCTGGGGAGAGGAGCCACAAGCCACCGCCTCGGGCAGCGGCCACGGCCCTCAGTCTCCTGCTCCCCAAGGACACTCTGGAGAAAAACATGGAATTTGCTGGCAGGTGTGGGAAGAAACTGAGCCCTTCTGGGGAGGGCTCCTGCCTTCTCACAGCAAAGGACTCATCAAAATGGACATAACAGATGAGCTACAAATCCTGGGATTTGCCTGAGCTTTTTCATAAAGCAGCAAGACCTGGAGCTGGCGGCCACGGAGCAGGCGCGCAGCTCTGCCGGCAGCCGACCCTCAGATGGTCTGATGTGTTTTCAGAGACAGTCTCATAAGGCAACGAATGTGGAGAGAGATTTTTCTTACAGCAAAAGTACTTAAGACCAGCTTCAAAATTCTAACACTGGAACAAACCATATCAGCACCAAATTTATTTTCTGCTAAACATAGTTCCGACGTGGGGCATCTGGCAGATGGAGTAGGTATAAATTTGATTAGGAGATAAATATATGTAAAATTTATTATCCTAGATTCTGTCAGCAATAAAACTGAATCGAGAAATTACATAGGAGCCCATGTACGGTACTCAGACCATCTGTTTCCCAAAGAAGATATAAAAACAGATACATGTGCCTAAAGTTTCAGCAGCATTATTTGAAACCATTACTCTTAAGCTTTAACATGATGTCTGACTTAATTTTTACATCACTGAATTTTATTGTATACCACTTACGGGATGGGTTTATAATCTCTGTTACCATTGTGCAGCAACTGAAAAATAATGGGACGTGGCATGTTCCGCATATTTTTCTTTTCTCAGAATGTGTGACGTTTTACTAAAACTTCAGAGCTTGATAAACCAGTGAAAGGCCTTTCAGTCTAGCATGACTACACAATTAAGTCTGAACACTGTCGTGGCTCAATGCTATTCTTTAATCTCGCTGAGAGCGACAGCACAAACAGAGCTAAAGCTGTCGTTACTAATTCTGTAATAGACATCAAGGAAAGAATAACAGCAAAAAACTTACTTCAAAGACCAGCGTCTCATTAGTCGGTCCTGCTGCATACAGACTCTCCGGATGGTTGAAGGAGCGTTGATAATCAAAAACGGTTCCAGCAAAAGAGAACTTTCCTGGCCAGTCAATTGTCCAGTCTCCCGTCAGGTAATACCGCTTACTGAGGCTGCGAACCGCGAGGTAGCTGCTCGAGATCTGCATTTCGTGGAGCTGGATGCTGCGCGCTCCTGCCGGAACCGTCACCACTGCATAGTAGTCTGAAAGGAGAGAAGCAAGTGACAGTTTTGCAGTTTGCATCCTGGTAGAGACGTTTCATCCTGTCCGAGCCGACAGTTTGAAAGATTCTGAAGACAGCTCTTTGATCCATCCATTTTCCCAATGACACATCAGTTCTGATTTTAAAGTTCCTATGTAGCCTGTAATCAGAGTTACTCAGAGGTGTTTCAATTCCTGGAATTTCTCTTTGTGACTGAAGATGAGACAAAGCAAGTTCACCCTAGAAAATCACGTATCAGACTAGCAGAGGTTTTCCTGTAGTGGTTTTACTAAGATCTCCCTTTAGTTCCCTAGAGTAGTTGGAAGGCATTACTTTAATCATGGATGAGCTTTTGGGGTGAGATGCACTTGGACACGGAGTTTTCATGGATCTCCCTGCTGTGACCAACTACCCCTGAGCATTTAGAAACCTCTCTCATTGCAGTCTGATCGGACATCACTGACAACCTCCACTCTGCACATGGCTAATTTTGCACAGCACTGTGGTCAGATTATTTTCCTAGCATTATATTTTATCTCTATATAACTATATCCTAAATACTTTCCTGGCCTATATCACTGTACTATTGACATATCTTAGGATTATCAGTAAATGAATCCTCAAAACACTCCTAAGGTTAAAGCAATAGTTATTATCTGCAATTTATGCCTGGGAAGTAGAGGCAGAATGAGATTATTTCCCAAGAAGCCTCTGACAGACCAATGAAGAAAAGCCTGCAGCCTAGTGACTGGGTCATTCATTGAATCAGCTGGATGACTTCCAATGAATTTAATTTGAAAATGGACATGGGAAGTGCTGTCATGTTTGGCATTATGCTGTGTACCACTGTTCATATCTTCCACAAGCTCATTCCAGACAGAATTATTTACAGCTATTTTTTCACTTGCCTGGATCCTAAAACTTTTTAAAAAGAAAATCGAAGTGTAACAGAAAAAAAAAAAGTGACTTAGGAGACAAGAAGAATGCCTGCAAATTAACTAACCAAGACTTATGTTCGTAGTTTCTTGTTACTAAGGAACAGGAGAAACGTGAACTCTCCTCTCACTCTCCCTGTGATTTTCAGTTCACATCTGGACTTTCAGCCACTGCCCTAATGAGCAAGGAGTCATATATATTACATGGGGATACAGCAGAGCAATGAGTTGATGATCATGTGGAACAGCTTTCCTTACCATTAGCTTTGTGCTGGATCAAGTATTGGCCTTTAAAGAACTTGCATGTTGAATTATCTCCTTTACAAACTCCACAAGCATCCAATACAGCTTTGGAACCAAGTCCATGATCACACCCTACTTGCTGCAACCAAAAGGCAGAAGTGAAGGACTTGGACACAAGGGAATTGGAAAAAACAGCTGCATTTTTGATAAAGTAGTCAACTGCCCACCAAAAAAAAAAAAAAAAAGAGGTATTAGGATTGTAAGAACCTTAATTTTATCTTACTTCACAAATTCCATCAATGCAAACATCATATTTGTTTGGGGAACACAGCGTTCCATCCTTCACTTTGCTGGACATTGCAAAGAAGAAGTCAAAGTCTTCAGCTGTGCAGTACAATTTACATCTGTCTTCCTCTGGGAAAAGAAGACAAGAAAGTGTTACCAGACCAAAGCAAGTTATGAAAGAAAGAAATATAAAAGAAAATAATATATGTATTTGACAACCCAGACACTCACATAGCTTAAAATTCTACACCAGCGTGAAAACACACATATTCCATTAGCTGAGCTGCTGATGTGGCCCTAAATTTCAAAAGCACTTGCCCACAGTTTCAAGTTTCACTTTTTTATTAAGAGAAATGGGAGTCTGGTAATATTTTCATTATTTTTTAAGTAAAAAATGAAAAAGAAGCAAGAATGCACAAATGATAGGTTCGGTAGGAAGTTAGAAGTAGGAGCAGACTTCCCCTTAATAAAAGCATTGTTCCTCTCAAAAATTTACAGCATTGTCTGTCAGATTTCTTCTTCTACATGGATGGTATATTGTGCATATGAAGGGCTTATAATTTCTGCCTAGAAAAATCCAGCAGTGATACTGAAATATTGTAACACTTGCTGAATGAAGCACACAATTTCCATGCAAGTAAGGGACCAAGCAAGGGACATCTTCAGGAGCATGAAATCAGATTCAAAATGCCTTCTGCCCTTAAATAAGCAACTGGATTTTTGGTAGTACTTAGCACTCCACACTTTCTATAGACCCAAACATGTGTAGCAATTTTGAAAACCATATCATGGGTTTAGGAGCACAAATATAGGTCTTGGGTGAGATTTGGAAAAGTAGTTAAGAGAATTAGGACAGTGATACATTTTTAATTTCAGAATTATTTGGGAACTTATTATTTGTTATTGAGGCCTGACCTTTATAAAGACATGGTAGAAAAAGCTAGCCTTAAAAATTTATGTCATTACATTGGTCTTTTTTGCAATTCTCATGGGACTATACCAGTAGAAAAGTCAAAAGGTTGATTTATTGTTACATTTAGAAATCTGAGAACATTCCAGATGAAGGAAGAGTCTGGTAGTGTTATTGTGGGAGCTCATATTTCCCATGGTGAAAAATCCATGGAATTCTTTTTTTGTTGTTGTTATTTTCTTTCATTTTACACTAAAACATATCTAATATAAAACAAAAGAAGAGGTAGCAATGGCCAGGGAGTCACGCGAAGGACAAAGATCTAAATTCACAATCAAAATCAACTCTGCACGTTCATACAGGCAGAATCACACAGAAGGTGAGATCTAGGTATGCTAGAAAGCAAACACATCTCCAAATAGGCCAAATGAACTTCTGTTTGCTTACATCAGGGTGATATTTGCCCAAAGAATCTGGATGAATTAGAGTTTTATATCTTGCTTCCTGCAATTGACTTTGTCCATCAGAGCAGTGCTCTAATTACCTTCCACTTTAGTGTATGGCTTCCACTTGTAGTACCAGCCCCGGAAGGGTTTGCTGTTGTACTCTGCGCACTGCTGGGCACGGAAGTCGGGGCTGTTGGGTGGACAGGGCTGATAGTTGCAAAGCTGATAAATACGACTGGAGCCTTGACAGAATTTGCCGCCATACTGTGGCCTAAAAAAGAAAAAAATCTCTTTTTCACAGCCTACAGTCTTAGGTCACTTTTATCATCTTAAGAGATCAGTATTTCCCACATGGCCATTAACTTTTGTGGTTGCTACAGCCAAGCAAAGCAGCTGCCATGCAATACCTATTGGGATCACTACAAACACAGCAAAGATGTGACCAGAGAGGTGAATCATGTTCTCACCAATTTAAATTTATGCAGCTATTTTTATTTTGCTGGTTTCAATCTTGTTATATAGCTATTTTTAAATTTGTTGTAATCCAAGAATGAACATGTGCAAGTAATTACCTATCACAGTAAGACTTAATAAGGGACTACATTAAACTGATCAAACATAAACAGAATGAGTAATTACAACCTAGTAGTTGGTTTTGTAATTCACTGTTAAAAAAGATACTTGTAAATAGTCAAGAACAGAGGGACTGTACATAATTGTTCTGCTTAGGGAAAACAGTGGAGTTCATGGTTAGGTTTAAACACATTGCATCCACTTCGAGAGACCTTACCTGGGTACTATAATTCTGGCAGAATGAAAAGAACATATTCTGTTACTTTACTCGTATCTTACCTTATATTACCTTAATATTGGGTCTACGTAAATGACTGTAAATGGATTTTATGCCTAAGTTTTATCCTTTTCAAAACGGCATAAATAACATAAAAATAATACCTTTTCATCTCTATGTCTTACTTTGGATTATTGCAGTGTCTCTCCTGATAGGTGACCCCACCTCCACAAGTGCGAGAGCACTCGGACCACTCCGACCAGGCCGACCACTGGCCATTGACAGGCTTGGGTCCGTGTTCACCATATTTGACACACTGTCCTCTTCGACACCACTGCCAAAAGAATGCCAAAACGTACATGCTTAGCAGTAGCTACTAACTACGAAAAACAAAAGATCCATTTTTATAAAAGCCTCAGGGCAAGTATGTAATCCTGTAAACATGAGGCCTATCACTGGGCTCAGTGAGATTAGATTAGAAGAAGGATTCTGAAGCAGGATATGGATCAAAACGGTGATATCTATATCTATATATATATAGATATAGATATAGAGATAGAGATATATATAAAAAAGTAATATCCTAAAATTTGCCCAGGCTCTAGATAAGATCATCCATGTCATTTAAAAATACACCGTTAAAGTTCTGCTAGGAATTCCTGCTCTTATCATTCACTTATTAGACAATGCAAAAAGAGTAGAAAGGGAGAGAGAACGTGATGTCAGTAACTTGAAAATAAAAACAATATTCTAATTGAAGAAACACTTGAAATAAAATATTTCAGGTAGCTATAGCTTTGGGTAAATTACAAGGTTCAATTAAAGCAAATAACCGTGTTCCTTCAGTAGTGATCACTGGAGGGCAGGGTGCATGATGACCTTAGCTTGTACAGCAAATTTTATGACTTAAGGAATGCGTATCGCAGAGTGGAATTTGAAGTCTTGATCTGATTTTTATTACAATCACTGGAATTTCTTAATGACTTAGATTTGCCAGAAGTATCTTATTGCATAGTTTGATGGGAGGGGCATCACTCCCTACCATCATGCATGTGTCACTGCAAGGAGCAGTCTTTTGCAATGCAGCTTTGTACTCAGCAAATCAGTATTCCATATTATGAAAACTGCAGTAATGTGGAGAGGACTGGTTTGGACAGGAGTTAGTATTTAACCCGATATGCTCTAACAGTAAGTTAATAAAACAACATACCATATTTATGCCACAAGGTGTTCCTTCTGCTGCTGGCATGAACTTTGTCTCACATCTATGACCCACTTTGTGACACCAGAGAGACTTGCAAATATCCTGAAAAGAAAAAGAATTTGTATTCATATAATTGCCTGTTATTTCCTGGTGTTCAGAAATAGCAATAAGTGATGTATGCCTCTGCTACCTTCTTCTGAACTTAGAAAATCTAGAGTTTCAGATTCTTAGCAGAGCAATATTCTGTATATTGTCTTTGTGTTCATGCACCATTCTTTTTTTAAAAGACTGGATTCTTTTTTTAAAAAACTTGTTTGAATGTGAGACTACAAGATAACTAAAGTAACTAAAAGTGGTAAAAAGTTCAAGGTCACAATTAAAGCAAATCTGCAGGAGCAGTGAAATTCCAGAGAGACCTGGTTTTCTAAAACACAGGAGATGTCTGGAAACACAGTCTCTTCACAGTGCTTCTTACTCTGACTTTTTTGTTTATTGGCAGTAGAGGAAAAACAGATGCCATCACCTGATAAATGTGGTTAGTATAAAATAAATCAAAATAATGCAGGATAATAAAAATAAATCAAAATAATGCAGGATAATAATAGGAGTATAAGAAATGACAATACTTCTTTTCAGAATGAGCACTCTGGATTATTTAATAAAACATCGTCTCCAAAAAGATCTGCGAAGGCTGTAATAGTCTCTAAAACAACAGGTTAATCCTCAGTCAAAACACAAGAATATAAATTACATTTCATTATTCTAAAATAACCATATAGATCTGTTGCAGACTTCCATGCCAACGCGTAAGAGCAAAACAAAACTGAACTTCTCCCTTTCGCCCCAGCAACACACTGTGAAAACTGTGATCAAAGCTGCACTGCCTGCTAACCTGCCTTAGCAGAGCAGGCAGTGCCTGATGGATCGTTATGTATGCAAACATACACCTCCTGGAAAGAACGCATGTCCTTCTGAAACTCCCCCGGGATGGTGATATTCCTCAAGGGAGGCCAGTGCTTTCAGTGTAAATTGCTAAGCGAGATAAGGTTGAGAAATAGCCCAGCCCTCTGGAGAACATTATATTACTTGTACTGATTTATAAATGCACTGCAGTTCTCTAATGCAATTTTTACTTTTCAAAAGGATATCAATAGGTACCTTTACAAAGCTGAGGTTGCACAGTTTTGCTTTCATTCCAAATTGCCATTTGCACTGGGTATCAGCATCATAGATCTGCCCTGGCAGCTTGTCAGGGTATTTATACTGTCCTGTTTGCTTAGGTTCATCCATCAGGCAAGCAGCTTGAGCTGTACTATAATGAGAACGTATATTAATCATGACTATTATCTTTTCATCAAAATATTTTATTTGCTACAGAACAGCAAAAACACACAGTATGGTATATGCAGTACCTTTAACTAGCTTTATTGGCATGCACTAGAATGCACATATCTGCTGCAAAAGCCAAAATATCTTGATATCTTGTTGGTAGCCTGACCTGCAAACTTTTAAGATGCAGGAATTTCCAGGCCTTGGCATTATTATGACAAGAAAAAATGCTATTAAATTCCTTTTCTCCCTTTATTGCTGGGTAACCAAGAACAAGGCAATCCCATCTACAGCTTTCTCTTAAACGGATCCCCAAAATCTGGGCATAAGACAATGTCTCAAGATGGGCAGTGACCCATTTGCTTCAAGTGGATTGATACCCCAAGGGCTGCTGTGGCTGAGTGATGTGGTTTAGGTTGGCTGTGTCCATGGTAAGGTACTGTCCAAAGGTACTTTCCTATGGCCTACTTTCCTTCATACTTGCTTGTGGATTCAGATATGCAGAAGGTCAGTCCATGCTGGATTTATCCTCCAAATACGTGTTTGCTGGACCATACTGCGTGTTGGAGGGCTTGTGTAACTTTGTCATTTGCAATTTGCTTCTGTACTTAGAATATCTTTGATCACTGTAGCAGCTAAAATCACCAGAATTGTGTCATCTTTCCTGTCTGCTAGCCTAAGATATTAATTTATCCACAGAAATATCTAGGTTCTTTATTCTGACTCAGTTAACAGAATTAAGGAATTAACATCTAAAATGCCTTAATATTATCTGAGACTTAGTACTGTATACACATTTTTTGGAATGATGCACATTATGCCCATATAGGGCCAACAAAATCGAATAAATTTGTATGGGTAAGGACTATAATTCTCATTATATTAAATATGCATCAAAAACCAGCTTTTAGATGTGTCACTGAATTATGCCAACATGTTGGAGAAACAACTGACATCTCTTTCTCTCTTTCTCTTTTTTTCTCCATCCAAGAAGCAGTATATGAAAAATGTGCTTACTCATGGCATGAACTAGATCAGAAGGGAAAATTCAGGGAGAAAGGGCACTAGTGTTAATTTACATTTCATAATGAACTTGGTACCACTGTGTCTGTCCTCTTTTGTGTTCACTTCCTACTAATTCTCTAATAAACCAAGCTACAGACAGGAATGCTTGGGAAAGAATGGCATGCCAGTCATTACTGCAGGATATTCATGGAGGGTGAAATTCATTCTTCTGAAAAGAGGCAGGACAAAGACATTTTGCATACATAGCATACCACTTATACGCCTCATAAGTTCAAGTGTGTGGGCTCAAATAGTACATTGGTTTTAGCACATTTTAAAAGAAGTAAATTTCACACTTTAGTAATTTTTATGTCTGTTCCAGAGTTCATGCCCTGCTGCTAAGATATATTCCCTGGCACTAGCCCAGATTTACATCTGACCTACCTGAGAAACTTGTTGAGATACTGCCTGCTGCACACGGACCAAGAAAACACTCCATTGTTTCCTGTGAGGGTGGGAGACATAATATTACCCTCAGCTTTTCTACAAGGATTTCCTTCTCCATCATGAATCATACCAAAGCTGAAAAGAGAAACATACGTGAGAGGGGAAATGTAGATCAATCAGAAGCAAGACAAAATCTGGGGAGAAAGAACACTGTGAGAAACATCTCTATGCTTGTGTTCCACATAGGGATGCAAATATATGCACAAACCAACATACAAATGACTATTGGTATGAAAAAAGCTCCTGTTTATATCATTCAAATGCTGGTGCCATCATACGCTTAACTGGTTAGAGAAAGATTGTGAAGTGTCTGTAAAGAAAGTAGTGATGCACAGGAGCTCTGTGGTGTGAGCTAACAAGAAGACACTAGCACGCGGATACCAGAGCCACAGGCTGAGAGACATTTCATAGCTAAACGGCTTCTCTATTCTGAAATTCTGCCTGTTTATTGTATCATCCATTGCCTGTGAAACTTATTATCTAGGAGCTATTTTGTGGTGCCTCTGAAATGAGAGGATGCATTCAGTCATCAATGTTTCACCTCACGTTATAAAAATCACTGTTGTACTTGGCTGCCTTGTTGGTCATCGCAGAACAAGCCAAGAACAGAGGTTACTTGGAGTCATCTTCCTCACTGCTAATGATACAGCTCTTGGAAGGAACTACTTGGGCTAACGGGAGAAAAACTAACTCGCCACTGTCTGCAGTGCCTCCCCTACAGACAACCTGATGCCAAGTTCCTTGCAATGTCCTTGTAACACAGGCATATTATAAGAGGTCAAGTCAAAAGTAGCTCTTGGTCTTTGGAGCAGTAGTCAAATGGGACAATAATATACAAATCAATGCCAAAATGAGGTTTATACTCTAGGAACAATACTGTCACATGAACAAGACATGCAGTATCTCATTAAAAAAAAAAACCAAACCAAAAACCTTGTGATTAATGACTCGTGCAGATAACTGCATTAGAGAAATTACCTTGAAGTCATTTTTTACTCCATGTGTCCCTTCCATCTCCTAATCCTGCCCAGTAACTGAGCTTCTTGCTTCCAGCAGAATTTTCTTTTCTGCCAGCAAATGAATCAAAGCTGACAAAAGCCCCATGATGAACTGAACTACCATAATGTACCACAAAGAATTAAAGCTAGTTCTGCTGCCCCATATATCACAGCAATAACTGAACAGTCCACAGTTCAGTCTGTATCAGGTCGTTTTGTGCACTGTGTCAATGACATAGTTAGGGATGGGTAAAGAATTTCTTTATGGCATTTATAGTAATAACCACAATCATACTACTTTTCACTTTTTCATCCACCAGTTCATAAGCACAGAAACCTTTTCATTAGTGGATTAATGTTAAAAACAAGTCTGTCAAAGTACATCACAACCCTGTTTTCCTTCTAATTACTTCAAGCAGTGTTTTTATAGTAAGCTTCTGGGCAATTTTCTGAATGTTTGAGGAACAACTGAAAATACGGTACTCAGATATGCTTGAGTATGTACCTCATGTTGATATCCATGCACAATGAAGAGAATAACAACAGCACCACTTCTCCCTTTGTAATCAAGAAAGACCCTGCTACTTGCAGCATTCTTGTAAATGGGAAGATGCACATTCAGGGCCTGTACAAAGACAGTCCCATGGAGATGGATGGAGGTAAAGCACTAGTAGGCCTTATTTTCAGTCATAGTTGTCTACTGCCTATAAGTCAACCATCTCAAAACATACAGTCTGAGCAAAGACATTTTGTGTCTGTGACAGGTATTTTGTTTTTGTATTTTTCCCAGAAGATAAAATGTATTCTTTTAGAAAAGATGGAGGAGTATGATGCAAGTAAACTAAGGACAATATGAACAAAATGGCAGTAGTAGAAAAGAAAAAAATCCAACTACACGAAAAAAACAAGAATAAGATATATAGTTAATATGTAGTTCTCTCAAAGAGAATAAGAAAACGATGAAGAGGAAGGCAGGCAACTAAAAGACCGAGGGTGATAATTCTTGAGAAATAACCTATAGACTTGTTTCTCTCCTAACACTGATGGAAGGGAATTAAAAAAATTTACTAAGGTCAGTGAAATTGCATTAGTGTAACATGAGCATCAAGCCATAGGCATTCTACTTATTTGGTCCCAATGAAAGCGTTGGCACAGTTCCCATGGACTTCACTGGTAGCAGGATTATTCTTTAATTCCTTGTTTCCCTTCAGATATACAGAAACCTGTGAAAGGGTCACTCATGTAGACATTAGGTCATAGTATATACTGTAAAGCATATCTGTACAATGAAAACTACATAGCCCTGATGCAGTCATGCAGAATCGGAAAGATTCATGCCTTGACTAAACAGCAGAATACAGTAGCTCTGCCTTTCAGAAAGGTATTTGCTGCAGAAAATAACCATCCTGTACCCATGTTTTCTCTAACCTTTTCTCTAACCCCTTCATGTTTTGTGATCTGCACCACAGGGAGAAGCTATGCTTCTATACTGCCAGTGCTTAGAAAGAATTCTGTTGGAGTTGTGTTTAAACTGAAAATCAAGGGCATGCAAGAAGCTGTGCAACAGAAACTCACAATCATTTGGGAACAAGAACAGCAAAACCTAATCATCTTCATTAAAACTTAATGAACAATTCAGACAGTAGCTGAGGTTCCAGGGAAGACTCTTACTGATTTGCTCTGAGACAGCAGTTCTTAGTCTAATCACCAAAAAAGCCAGTGAACGTAATATATGCAGGAGGAGGAGCTGAATGGGATGAATGGATCCAAGATCCGATGAACCACAGAGTCTTCTGGAAAGACACCTTTAAGAAACTCACAGAGATGGCATCTCCATACTGTAAGCTGCTGTGGCCCTTCTCTTTTTGGAGCATCCACACTAGGAGCTATTTGTCTACCAGCACATGATTCAAGCACAGGAACACTGGCGTTACTATTGTCAGCTCTTTCTGCTTGCTCTAATTATTTACTGGAACAGTCATAATGGCAAAATAATAAAATGAAAAGAACCACAAGAAGCCAATTCAGCACTTAATTCTAGAGGACACATCTCTGAGTGTCTGGACTTCTGTTTAACCTAATTTCATCTGTAGCTACCTGCCAAGGTGGGAGCAATAGCGATGTACCTGTGTCAGAGTAGGGCCTCTTCACCTATGGCAACAAAATGGATTAAAATCCCCCAGCGGTTATTTTTGATTGCTGAAGAAATGATATTTAATAAAAATCTATGCATTAATGGAAAGATTTATATATTCTGACAATTATATTGTTCTATAAATGATCGGTAATTAGCTGATGTATATTAATTGATACTACATTTCCATTCATGTACATACTAATTTATAGAATGAGAATGCAAGTCATGAAAAATAGCTTACTTGTGTCCAGATTCATGAGCAATAGTAAAAGCCAGTCCAAGGCCTGTATCTTCATTGATGGTGCAGCTACGGTACTTACTGCACATACCACTGATAGGGGCAAATCCTGGAGGAAGGAGGCATTAAAAGAAGTTGTTAATAGCTCAGTATTTGTCTGTTGGGATACATGAAGATGGTTTTCAACTTGATAGTTTTACCATGAAAGAATTTCAGCAGATTTACATTTGATAATAAAAGATTTTTGTTTAAAGAGTATGCGCAAATCAAATCTAACACAAAAGAAATGCATTTTTCCAGTAAACATTATTCTTTCCCCATTCATGTCCCTCTTGCTCCCAAATTATGGATTCATGAAGAATCAAGTAGTCACTGAAAAACAAAAATCAGAGTGGCCCAGAAATATTTTCAGAATTACATGATAATCCTTGAAAAGGTGACAATCCAGAAGAATGTCTACTGAAAGTTTATTTTGCCATCTTTCCTGGAATAAAGAGAGCAATAATTCTCATGTTGTTCTAAGTATCTCAAAGGAAAACATGTAATGTTAATATTGTTCTGTAATCCAGAAGAAAATTGTAGTTATGTGAAAAAAAGGCCTTCCTTTATTCTGAAATATTTCAGTTTTATTAATCAATATGCTGCTGTTGAGATGCATGAGTTTCTCGGAACAATTTACATACCATACCTAAAGTATCACAGGGCTCGTTTTTCCAAGAGCAGATATCAAAGCCCGTAAGCAAGATGGCATGGTCGTGACGCTTCCCGTTCTTCCCAACCAGAGCAGACTGCCATTGACAAAAGCTGTTCAGAGACTGGTCCGCATGGTGGTTAATCAATAATCCACCCTGTAGATATTTCACAGACACAGAAATAAGGTGCTTCCACCAGTACTTGAGGAAGGTAAATGAAGGAAGAAGAGATGGGTAGGGAAAAGGAAGTTACTTTTTTCATATTTTTTTGCATATTAACTTATGCATTCTCATGTTAACTGTGATGACCAATTCTGTTGATCGATGAATCACAGGTATAAAATAAAACTGAACTTCTCCCACACAGACAGTTATTTTCAAAGCTAGTGATTGGAATTAAGTTGATAATGAAAGGATTTCACCAGTTACTGTGCCCAAAGATATTCAGTTGTTATAAAAGTTGAAAGCTAAAATATTTTCAGCCTTTTGTTTAAAATGTTCAGAGATTTCTGTGCAAGAACAACATTATCCAGTTACGCTGACCCTCCACAAATGCATATTCAGTTTTATCAAAATCGATTTTATTTTATTTTCTTTCACTATCTTTGCCCAAAGAACAGGCTCAACTCCCACCTTTGTTTACATGCTGTCTTCAGTTTGGAACTTTGGACTCCTTTCTCCTGATCACACTGTGGAAAGTCACTCTTACTTAGACCCACTTCAAAATCTTTATATTTATTTAGATACTTTTTAAGTAGACTTTTCATTCCAGCCATCTCTCTTCAAGAACAGGCAGGAAGTTGTTAGTGAAAGCATTTCAAAATGTCTCAAGAACATTTTAATCAAAATCAGGATTTACAATCAAAAAAGTAGGAGCAGTGAAACATAGAAAACGTGATTTTGCAGGTTTCTGTGATATCAGTCTTTCTCTTGTGCTTTATGTCCTAAGCAACCTCCAATGAAAGTCCACTCTTTCTTGTGGAGAGTGTCAAATAAAGTGTACTACATAAGAATTATGCAACTTACAGGCTCTTGTTCCAAAAGAAGAAGGCTCACAACGATAATATTTATGTCACTTCCAATTGTTCCATCTTTAAACAGACTGGAAACCTGTAATGATTATTCAAGCAGGAAATATTACTTATGTGTATAAATTTTTTTAACAATTGACTAGATAATTACACTGAGCTTCAATTTTCAATACAAATTACTGTAATTATATGCCTTGCAGAATTAATCCGAAAGAGCTTAATCCAAAAGAATTACACCCCAACCACTATACTTATTCACAAAACTTTAAAAACTTCTATTGATTTCACTGGGTTTTGTTCTGCCCTTGTTCTTCTGGATCAAGTGTAATCAAGTTTAGGTTTTTGCAATAAAAAATTAAAGAGGAGGAAATCCTAAAGGAAGGAATATTTCCAGTTAAATTGTGTTTCTCAGCATAAATATGTGCTTTTTCAGAAATTTTTGTTTCAAGGAGTGACATCAGGTAGAACAAAGTAAAGCTTCTATAATACTGACAGAAATGAAACTTTCAATATGAATAACTGTTTTCTTTGTACTATGAAAGAAACATTTCACTATTTTAAATGCTATCCAAACATGCCTATTTTTTATCTGTATCAGTATTGCCATAGCCATGACGATTTTAGGATGTATTTTTAAACAACTTTTAAGCATAAATAATGTATAACACTAGCTCTGAAGAGCTTTTATATCTAAAATGCGCATGTTCTTTTTGCTATCACTGTTTGTCTGATGACAGGTACTATTTTGACACATCAATATTCCCCAGGGAAAGACATACTTCAGTTACATCAGATCTTACCATATTCATAACTGTTAAGATATAAGTAGTTACATTTTCCTTGCCATGTTTCTCCAGCATTTTTTTATCTGCCACAACAAGGGTTTCAACATTTAGACTCCCATTTTTCTGGATTTTAGCAGATGATCTTTTGAACCTTGGAGAAGTCCCATATTCATCTGAGCGAATGTATGTCTCTTCTGTGGGTGGTTTAGGTGCATCTAAAAGGAAATAAAATTTAGTTTTAGAAAGGATTCAGATCACCCGTAAGCAGTTTAAACAGGTGATTAAATATAAGGGTTTAGAGCCTTAGATTATTTATACATTTGATCTAATACTGGTAGGACATTCCAATATATTTAGTAAACAAGATCCAACTCATTCTTGATAGTTACAGGGATATTTGCAGGGAAGGAATCAAAAAGAAGCACATTTGGATGCAATAGACAGTTTAAAATAAGGAATTAATCTAATAAAATTGCAGCATTTGCAACAGAAGATGTACCCAGAATTTCGAACACTTGCTTTTTGCAGCTGGTGGCTTTCTCAGGTGTTTGCTATATGCTACTTCTCAGGTGTTTGGCATGTGCAGCTTATCTAGCAGGTGGTTCAAAACCTCCTTGCCACAACAGATGCCCACCGTGAGCACAGAAAGTAGATCCATGCCAAAACCAAGATTCCTGTCCCGGTGCTGCCTGACTGACCTTAGCCTTCTATGCAAATTTGTCACCGAGATCATCCCTGACGGGGATATATTTATCTAGTATAGGAAATGTCAGGAAACAGCAATCGAGGCTTAGTCAATGGGATAATGCACTTTCTTTTTGTGTTGTATAAATGCATGGTTACAAAATGGACTCAGAGTCACACAGAGACAGAACATGGAAAAGAAAGCTGTAACTGTATTTCTCTTGGCTTCTTTTGCATATACCTGTGTTTCCTTCACATCAAAAATTAACTAATTAAATTAACAACGGTCACTTCACGTATTATTCGGATAACAGTAGGGTTTTTCTTTTTTTTTTGGACATAGGGATGTAATATGAGAGAGGGAGCCTTAGATAACTAATAAGTTCTGCCTTTGCCTCATCAAAAAGATATTCCAACAGCAGGGCTAAAACTGTAGCTGCCTCCTTCCTACTATGAAGTCAAGAATAACGTAGAATAGACAACAGTATCTGCTTTCAAAGAACTGAGTCACTCTGAAATATATTTAATTCCACAAGTCCCTGTATGAGCAAGATTTTTAAATGTAAAATTCATTATAAACAGTTTTCCTTTACAAGCTCAAAGAACTTTTCTTCTGAAAACATGTTGACATTCTTCACCCAAGAATGAAGCGTGCAGTTCAGTGTACATCACTTTTCATGTACTATTTTGAAGGCAAAACAACCGAAGGCACTTAACTCATCAAAAATTGTGTTCATAGTCACATACCCCGTAGACTGATCACTGACAAGCAGTGTAGTTTTGCTCTCAAATTAATTTCTCAGCTACTAATAAAACACGAGCAGCAGCAGTATCTTTCAAGTATGATTCACTGACTAGAGTCCATTTACTTTGCATGATCTAAAAACATTTAGATTGTCAGGAAGGGTTTGAAAGATGATTTAATGGCTTCTCTAGTGCTTACAGACTGCTGGTGTATGAAATTTTAGAAGATGGCGAATGCAACAAGTTTTTATGACATTAAAGATGACCATGTACTCAATACTCTTACTGATCAGCAAACCTGGATCCACTGTTATCTCAGGATGAATTAACCCTGAATATAGGCAGCGTTAATAACAGAAACCTGCCTTCCATAACACTGCATCCTCAGTTCTTAAGCTTTTGTTCATTCAGGCTGAAATTGTGTTCCGAGTGTCCAAACTGATCTTCCTCAAGATTTCTGACTTCTGATCTCAGAACAAGACCAGAGAAAAATGTAAAAACCACAAAAAAAGAGAGGAAGTTTTCCCTTGAGCTTCTAATACTCTTAGAAGGGCTGTTGCCTTTACATGAGTGCTGTCTGTTCTTCTATGTCCTTTGTTTGACCTACTCAAACAATCACGTGATTTTATTTGTAAGACTGCATTCATTTAATGAACATGAGTTATACCTGTTGTACACTTCAGTGAAGGCTAGTTAAAAAGCTGCTATTTTTCAGAATTGCTCTCTCCTTTCTTTCAGACAGTCACAGGTATGTACAGTTTGAAGTGGAAGACTGCAGGATGTGGAAAGGAGTATTTTTGTGGTTAAGGTAATTAAATGCTACCTTATTTAAATGGATTTTAACAGTGCTTCTGACACCAAGTGCCTAAGTGATGACAGGTAAATCACTTATATGAAACTCTTCACTGCGGGTGCAACCTGTGTGTTCTTCATTTAATGTAAACCCCAACTGAAACTCCAGCTAAGACCTCATACCCTCAAACAGGCGTCAGTCTCAGCCACCTTTTCTGCTACCTCCTTTTTCCTTCCTACTATTTATTTTCTTCACTCTTTCCTACAAAGCTTTCGGAAGAAACCTGCTCATTTTCTCATAACTCAGGTAGGTGGTTGGACGTATATAGCCTGAGACAACGTTTTCAATAACAGGTACAGTCCTGGAGACTCTCATTAAGGAACTCAATCCAGAAGCAGATCAGCTTTCAAACGGAATCAGCTGAATGCTATAAGCACAGCTATAGGCTCTAAGGGGCCTCTAAAATGCTGTGCAATTTGAGGGCCAAGTTAAGGACTCAGAATAGACCTTGGCAGGATAATATATTCCAATATGTTCTTTAAGAGGTGGCTACAAAATTTTATTTAAACAATTTATGTGGGAGGTTCATTTTGAAGATCTCAGTTGCTGAAAATTTCATTATCAAAGGGTGAGTTCTAAAAGACATATCGTCCATCCTGTCAGAACTTAATGATTCAAAATGCTTTTCCTTCATCCTCAAGCTTAATTAACTACATATCCCAAACTAGCAGACAAGAGTTCAGGGACTCGATGTCCATAACTGTGCCATAGTGGCAGTCTGAAACAGTTCGGTGCACTGAAACCTAGCTCAGTTTCAAGAAAAGGTCAGGCAAAGGATCTTTTAATTTGGGCAGTGAAGAAGCTAAACTGATTCTGATAGCTTAAAAACAAGCATGCTGGCTTAAATTTAAGTGAGTAGCCAAGTTACTTATATCTATTTCCTCTTATAGCCTTAAAATACTTTATTAATACTTAATACTTAAAATTTTAACATCTTCATCACAAAGGTGACTACAAACCACACCTAAGAATCACCATACTGTCTCTAAGAGCCACTATCTCAAACAAGGAGAGAAAGTTTCCTTACATACATTTCTTGCGACGTCCACAAAAATGTTGCTTTTGAAACCTTCCATGGTGGTAACCATTTGCTTGAGCATGAGACTTGTGGGAAGAGTGAATTCTGTGATGACGAAGGGAAAAGTATTTGGGACTGGACTCTACTGTGTATTGATGCACCTTCTCTTCTGCTGTTCGTTTATATAGCACGTGTGGATGGTGTCCGGGAGGTGCTGTGTAGTTGTGCTCCTTTGCTAGCTGCTGAGGTAATGGAGATATAAGGAATTCGATCTTCTGTGTCCTTATTAAACCTGACTAAAAAGCAAACACAAATTAGAGGAAAGCCCGTCAAGCCTTTACAACCGGCACATGCAAGCCCTTAAACAGGTCTCCCACCAAAGACTCTAGAGACTGAAATGTTCTCCACCAAATTAGTTTTATTCCAGATACAGGAATAACTATTCTCAATTAAAATATACTTTGCTTCCCCTCAGAGGTGCCCACGTTTCACGTTTGGTAACACACAGAACAAGAATGCTTCAGTCGGTCAGGCTGTAAGCATAACCTCTTCCTAGCAATCCATCATGATAAAGGTAGTTTAAACTCTACCGGTTTATAAGATAAAATGACCAAGATAAAAGTGGTCAGTGAAAGCAAGTGTCTTTACGTTTTCCTTCTTGCATCCCTAAAAGACAGAAGCAAGCATGGGAAAACAATGCTGTACTTTTCACACAGTATCTATGCATAAAACCCCACATGTGATGAAGTGTTTCCAGGATCAGGGCCAGAGAAACATGGGTGGCACTGAGGAAACATTTCCATACAGCTCATTAATCAGTTATGATTTTAGTTCATTTCTTTTTTCTTCTGAAATATGCTGTAATAAACACTTCTTTTTACCAAGTTGAGAACCGAGTTGTTTCATCAGGTAATTCTATTGCATTATATATGTAATACTAGATACAAGTTTTTGTTTCAGATCAGTAAGGTTCTACAATGTGTCAACACCTTTCTGCCAAAATTGACATCCCATGAGGGCCATATATCTCTTTTGCTTCAGAAAACTATGTGCAGAGAAACAAATGACAACTGCAAACCATCCTGCCCAACATCTAAGTCCTCCCAGATCATGATTCCACCTCCTTCCTCAAAAAGCATTCTTTGAAAAGGCAGATATTTTAGACATGCATCACGTAATCCTTTCTGAAATTGATGTTTTGCTTCTGCCTGAGCTCCTAATCCTGAATGCCAGTTATACCAGAAAGAGAACAATTTCAAGACCCAAGACCAACACGGTATTTCTTAAGGATTTGTGGAATTTTCTGAAACTTTCAGAACTATTTCCCATGAGGAAAATTCAATAGAAAATGTAAAGCAAATGGAAATAGGAAATTACATGTGAAATCTTCACAGCTTTAACTGTTTACTTTGCTAATACTAAAATTGAATTTAAGTGCATCCCAGTTAAAAGGATTTACCAGAGGATTCTCAACACTGCAATCAGACACCATGCCTTTTTTTTTTTTTTTTAAAAAAAACAAAATTCACTTCTGTCTTTTTCCAGATGGATAGAACAAAATCAAGAGCATCTTCACAGTATATAAGCTTCTGTCATGGGAACCTACTGCAACTGCTCACAAGATCATGCCATGCTCTAAATTCTGACAATAAAACAACTCTCATATTATGACTTGAGATCACTTCCCAAATGATAATATGAAAATAATGCAAAATATTCTGATAAACAACTCGCCCACTCCTCAAAAAAAATCATAACTAGTATCTACTCTCATCTACTCATCTCATCTCATCTACATCTCATCTACTTAACATACTAAATGAAGGATAAAATTACCTTTGTCAATAAGAGACTAAAACAGGCTTTTGACCATTGACGAGAATTTAACTTGCCTGCTCACTTCAAGAAATTGGCATATTTGAAACATCAGATCACATTTGGTCATGGCAAAGCACATTCCTGCAGGAAAGACAACTAATATTTTAATCCTTATGTGGTGTGCCATCACATAATTTATAACTGAGTCTAACCAAGGGGCAATTTTTATCTGTTAGGGAGCACTGATAACTGGGCACTGATAAATGATCTTTATATTCTGCTGGAAAACAGAAATGGGGTAAATCTGTTTCTTATTTCCCCATTTTAAAGGTTTCCACATCTGAAATTATTCCTGTAGGATTCATTTTATAAATGATTCAAACCATACGGAACAAAGGATTTTCTACATTTTCCTCTAAGAAAATGTCCCTGATGTACACCAAGCTTCAGCCCCAAATGTAATTTCTATATTTAACATTTTAAGGGTGGATTGAGAATTCTGGAAATAAAAAGGTGAACCAAATTCTGAACCCCGTGCTGAAGGTGTTTTTCTGCACGTTTTTCATATGCTGTAGCTGGCTAACAAATATATTCACTCTCCTCCAGCATAAAAGACTTCCCAATAAGATCTCTTTCCTTTGGGTTTTACATCAGACAGGTCCTCCAAACTGAAAAATGTTGTGTGAATGAAAGATGTCTTCTTTTTTGATAACATTCAGTTTTATGACATTGTCAAGAAGGAAAGGTGAAGTGTCACAGAGCAGTCTGAACACTCATTCAATCACAGACCATTTCACAATTCTTCCAGTTTTGGGACATTTTCAAGGATTCTTTCTAAAATATTCTCTTCAGTAATTTCAAAGCCCTGCTGAGAATGCTGACCTGGCCTCTGACAGAGGTGCAGTCTTTGTGTTGGCAGAAAGCGGGCAATTGTGCAATAACTGCCAAATCCTTTCCTTGCAGGTTCTTCAATTTTAACCTTGGCTGAAGTGGCCTATAGCCATGGAGCTATATGGTGATATAACCGATTTTTTCTTCAGATTTTCTGCGATTGTAACACTGAGAGAGGAAGCAACATGACAATCTAACATTTTTACTACGTCTAGACAACACAGCATGCAAAAGGCCAGGGGTTCCTATCTACTCTTTCTCTCCCACTGCAGCTATCACCAACAATAGCAGCAATTGTGTGAATGGGGTGGGAAGGAAAACCCAAGAGATTCCTCAGCTGGAATTTGCTGTTCTTTTATTCTTCCCTCAACACAAATTCACTATTTCCCTGTAAGGGGTATTCCACACCAGCAAAAAGTAAACTGGAAGACACAGGTTGACCTGTGTGGCTAGCAAATAATACTGCAATCAATAAATTAGAGGAACTTGCAGCTTGTTTGCAGACAAGTTGAGGAGGGATGAGAAGCCAGCAATCCTCCCATCCTTTGTTATAAGAAGTTTGCTTAGCTCTGCGCTGCAGGAATTTTCAGACTGGAATACGCCTTTGTCAAATTCCTCAGTATCAGGATGTTATCACCAAGGCAGGGCACTTGTTCTTTTTCCTTGGGATTTTCCAAAAGGAGAAAGAATCTCCAAATGAAGTTTAGGCAAAAGAGATGATAAAAAAAGATCTTTAGAATTTTTTTTAACTGATGTTACATTATGAGCTGAAGAATAATGATATTTTTTAAAAACACTGCAATTTTGTCTAACTATACAAATCAGGTAAATATGCCACTGATTTCAGACCCATACAGAATGGTTTAGAGAGTCCCAGTCTAAAATATCATCTGTCCAAGGGGGTCTCCTTTGCATCCTACAGAACCTGCACAGAAGTGCTTCCATCAGCCTGCCCTTGAACACACAGACTCTGAGTGAGGATCATGGGATCTTACAGACTTGTAAACCTAATTCACATTGAGGTTTTCAGCAACTCCAAAAAACAAACTCTCCATAAGATATGCAGCAATGATTTTGAATGACCCATCACACCAAGGAGGCTTTTTAGAACTTCTTGCCTGTATTTTAAGAAGTCTAAGTTACAAGATGACAGAGAAACCCTTGCTCAAAACTAGGAGAGCTTTATGGGAGCTCCAGTGTCAGAGGGGAGCTCCTGTGTTTGCATACAAGCTATTTTCATTATGTGCTAATTTAATTAAAGACAACCACTTGGCCATATGCATATTAAAGTCACAGGAGTTTCATAAACCAGATACAAAAAAAATGAGCTAAGAAACATAATGAAACTGAAAACCAACACATGAATAAATGAACTGCAACGTGTCTGCTAAATAAAAGTGCTCAGTACTGACTGATGCAAAGTTAAATTATACTTTGTACAATGACAGGGGCATCTAGACTAAACAGAGGGCTACAAAATATATACACATATTGTCTAAGCAACAGTGCTTATTTCCAGAATGCTTTAATCAGTATTATATTATGGGCATATATAGAAAGCAAAGTGTGTTAAAAGCCACTCTGTTTTAACTGATTGCAGTTAGAAGAGTGGCCAAAGAACTCATGAAGTCTACACCATTAGATGAGTGTGCAGGCACTCGAGATGAAAAGATTCTCAAAAGGAAGAGTTAAATGTAGCTTTGCAGCCATTAAAATGGTTCCAAACATCCACACAAAGTTTTAAAGGAGTTGAAAAAAGGTCAACTGAAATTGGCGCACAGCTTTCCACAGACTCCAGTGGACATAGATCCTCTTTAGAAACACCTCTCTTGTGTTATTTCCCAACTGTCTAGTTCCTAAAAAACACAAATCACCAATTCAAACACATTGTAACAAACATTATAGCATGTATTAGAAACATAAAGCACAGTTTTTAGTTCTACTTAAATCACATAAAAATAAAAATGAAGAACTTCTCAGAACAGATGATCTAGAAACTATAGTTGCTCCTTATTTGAAACTATCAGAGCTCTACTACCAGGCTTCTTAGCTCAAGCACAGCATAATGCTCATGTGTCCACATGGCTTCTGCACCAGGGCTAGCTGATGGTCAGCAGCTAGGAGCACAGGCAGAGCAATTCCAGATCTGTCTGCCCAAGGCACACTCAGAGACAACTATGTGGAGATGGCACTGCATCCCACCTGCCCAGCAAAATCCATTCAAGTCAAAGGAGGTGGCGGCAGCTGGCTAGAACAGGCTTTGGGTAAAGTCCTGGTAAATCTGCCAGCCTTTATCTTGGGGATGCCTCTACAGTAAGCATATTCTGTCACCTGGTCCTGGGACAAGGCTGTTCAAAACAAACTCACATCATGCGAGCAGTCCAAATAAATTATTATTTTTTTTTTTTTTTTACAGAATGGTTTATTACCAGACTCACACCTCTTGGGATGGGTTAAGTTGGTGGTCTAAAAAATATGCAAGACTATAACCTTACTACAGTCATAAGCAGAACTATTTCCAAGAATTACAGCCAACAGTATAGTACAGACTGACCTAGAATTGTAGATATCTGATATCACTAACTGA